CTGCACCTTAGTGTCCCCAGGAAGTGGGTGAAGTCACACTACCCAGTGCCTAGGAGCCTTGATGAGTGGTGTACAGCAACTCTTCTGTAACTCTGATTCTGCCCCTCACCTGCTGGGTCCCCATTTAGGGGACCTACTCTAGGTCAGAGTCCCTAGGCCCGTGGGAAAATTGCATTCCATCTTGAGTCTGTCCCTTGAGGCAGCCAGAGAGATACTTCTAAATCATTTGTTTACTCATCCATTCAACAAATTTACTGAGCACCTACCCTCCATGTACTCTGGTACCAGCTCTGCCCTTCCCCTTGGTCCCTGGCTCCCATCCTCATCCCCACAGTTTGTCTTCTTGGTAGCAGCCACCAGAGGGCGCCCGTGAGCACCTGAGTCCCACCTGTTCTGCTCACAGCCCTTCAGGGCTCCCATCTCCCTCCAAATAAAAGCCCAAGTCCTCCCTGGGGCCCCCAAGGCCCTGCACAACCTATACCATCATCTCCTGCCCTCACTTCCTCCCTTTCTCCCCCTCACTCTGCTCCAGCCACACAGACGTCTTCACTATTCCTCCAACAGACACGGTCCAGCCTCAGAGCCTTTGCATATGCTGTGCCCTCCACTGGGAATGCTCTTCCCCCAGATTTCTCCTCACTCACCTCTCTCGGGTAACCTTCCCAGTGAGGCTTCTCCTGACTTCCGCTTTCCCCTCACACATGGACATGTTTACACACACACACACACACACACACACACAAGCCCTTTCTCTCTTATTGAATGTTTCTTGACACATTTTTATTAACATCTGACCTCCCATATGTTCTTTTAATTTTCCCCCCATTATCTATCTCCCCTGCTCTTGGCTTCACCAAGAAAGGAATGTGTGTATTATTCATGGTTGTGTTCTCACTGGCTAAAACAGTGTCTAGAACATAGGTGTTGAATAGATACACTCTGAATGAATGAATAACTGTTACAGTGCCTAGCGCATAGCAGATATACAGTAAGCAGGTGCTGAATGATGAATAACAACGTTTAACATGGGCCCTGGCACACAGTAGGTGGTCAGGTTGTGTCAGATGCATCCTCCCTCTCTCCACCACCCAGTCGCATAATAATAAAATCCAATGCTCGTGCTCGCTGACCCTACGCTCTGGGCGCATGTGAGGGCCTAGGTGGTGGGCTCTTGTCTCCTTTACAGTTGAAGAAAGTCAGACCAGGAGATTCAGAAGTCCCCTTAGGCCGGGGAGGGCCGCAACAGACCAATCCCACTCCTACCCACTCGCATACATTGCAATTCAAGTGGCCCAAGGTGGGAGTTGGAGCAGCTCTCCTCCAGCCCCATGGTCCAGGGGGGGAGACTGAGGCAAGAAAGCAGCTGGGGTGACAGGAAGAAAAACGGCTGCCCTCTTTTCCAGTCCGGCACAGCCCGGCCTCCCAGGAGACCCCGGCCACAGCCTCCCTAGAGGCCGTCCTGGAGCAGAACTCCACCCCCAGCCCCTGGAGTCCTGGCCCCACACCTGGGAACAGCTCCACCAGGCCCTGCCACCCTGAGATCCACCAGTCGCCAACACCAGGGGGTCTGGAGCTGCTGTGTGAAGCGGCCTGTGGCCCGGGCATAGCTGTGCATTGGACCCGGGCACCCGGCGATCTGGCAGCTTACAAGAGGAGGGAGGACGGGGCCCAGGCTTGGCTGAGCGTGCTGTGGGCTGGATGCAACCCCGAGGGCTGGTTCCAGTGTCGCCTGGACCCAGGGGGCCACACAGCCAGTCTGTACCTACTCCCAGAAATCTGTGAGTTGGGCGGGGTGGGGCGGGGTGGGGCGGGCCCTGGGGGAGCCTAGGAGGGAGGAAGCCTTGCACACAGGCCTTAGACAGGAGGTGCCCTGCCCAGTCTCAGCTTCCCCAACTGTCCAGTGGGTTTTCTTGACACACAAGATTACAGTTGCCTGGCATTGCCATGACAACATTTCAGGAACTACATAGATTTCACAGCAGTCTGTAAACTGAACTTTATGACTACAACAGCCTGTGGAATAAAAATAGAATACAGCCACTTAGGTCACTTCAAATTTTCTAGTAGCCACATTCAGAAAAACAAGTAAAAATGACAATGTATTTTTTAAAAATGTTTTTATTTATTTTAGAGAGGAAGGGAAAGGGAAAAATAGAAACATCAATGATAGAGAAACATCAACATCAATTGGCTGCCTCCTGCACACCCCCCACGGGGGATCGAGCCCCAAACCCAGGCATGTGCCCTGACCAGGAATCAAACCAGCAAACTCCTAGTGCATAGGCTGACACTCAACCACTGAGCACGCTGGCCGGGCTAGATAATATATTTTATTGAACCCAATATAACTCAAATATCATCACTTCAATGTGTAATCTGTAAAAAGGTATGAGGGGGATATTTTATGTTCTTACAATGTGTATGTTACACTGCCAGCAAGCACTTCTCTACCCAGACAAGCCACATTTCAAGTATAGACATGTGAGTGGCCGCCTCCCTGGACAGCCCAATTCTAACTCTAAGGTCCTACATACCGTTCAAAAGATTCACTCCAGCTCTAACCGGTTTGGCTCAGTGGATAGAGCATCGGCCTGCGGACTCAAAGGTCCCAGGTTCGATTCCAGTCAAGGGCATGTACCTTGGTGCGGGCACATACCCAGTAGGGAGTGTGCAGGAGGCAGCTGATCGATGTTTCTCTCTCATCGATGTTTCTAACTTTATCCCTCTCCATTGCTCTCTGTAAAAAATCAATAAAATATATATTTTAAAAAAAAAAGATTCACTCCAAAGTCCTTTGGATATTCCAGTGGTTTTTATACATTTCAAAAGACATTCTAAGCCAGTGGTTTTCAGCCAGCGTGCACAAGGATTTTTTAAACATGCAATACCTCTTTAGTCAGGGGCACCAAACTCTTTTCCCTTACATTGTTCATTAAAAAATGACAACAGCTCTAGCCGGTTTGGCTCAGTGGATAAAGTGTCGACCTGTGGACTGAAGGGTCCTGGGTTTGATTCTGGCCAAGGGCACGTGCCTGGGTTGTGGGCTTGATCCCCAGTGTGGGGCATGCAGAAGGCAGCCGATCAATGATTCTCTCTCATCATTGATGTTTTTGTCTCCCTCTCCCTCTCCCTTCCTCTCTGAAATCAATAAAAATATGTAAAACATTTTTTAAAAAATAAAAAATGACAACAGCCAACACAGCAATAGCCATCCCGTGTGAATGAATAAAAATTATACCTATTTTTTAAATATTTTTTATTGAATTCAGAGAGGAAGAGAGAGGGAGAGAGATAGAAACACCAATGATGAGAATCATTGATTGGCTGCCTCCTGCACGCCCCCCAATGGGGATCAAGCCCGTAACCCTGGCATGTGCCCCTGACTGGAATAGAACCCGGGACCCTTCAGTCCCCAGGCTGACACTCTATCCACTGAGCCAAACCAGCTAGGGCTATACCTATTTTTTTGTCATATCGGCAAAAAATATATGTTTTGGTGTGCCACGGAATTCTAATAATCTATTTATGTGTGCCATTGAATGAAAAAGGTTAAAAATGGCTATTCTAAGTCATTAAGTCCTTTGTTAAATTCTAGGGAACTTGGTAAATTTGGAAGCCCTTTGGCAGGTTCTGCTGGGCTTATCCCCACAACCTGCAAAGAGGTGTTCAGGCTCCCGATGCTTCTCTCTCCAGGCTCCCCACCAGTGTCCGAAGCCCTGTGGATGGGCAGCCTGGTGCTGGGGCTGCTCCTCCTGACGGTCCTCACCTACCGCCTGTGGAAATGCTGCCAGCCCGCCAGGGGACCGCAAGGCCCACCAGCACCTCTGAAGTGGCCTACCTTTCCTTCCACCCCGTTGTGACCAGAGGACGATTGCAGGGTTCTGGGCAGCATGAGGGCTGATGGGGGGTCCTCTGCCCTAAGAGCCAGAACAGCTAGGCCGGGTTTCCCCTGGTGGGACCCCTGGGGACCTGCCCCTCCCACCAACTGGAGAATAAAGAGCCTGTTGTCTGACCTCAGTGGCTTCTGTTGTGGTGGGAGGACCCTGGACTTCTCTGCCCCGGGCGACTCCCCCAAGAAACAGGATAGACAGACACCCCAGCCCCACTAGCCTGGGGCAGGAGGAGTGTGCACTTTGCCTGGGGAGGGAGAACACAAATACTGTGCCTTTCCCTGGATACGGGGAACCTGGAACTCCAGAATAACTAGGAGCCATCAAAAGAAATGGAGACTGTATGGGGGTGGGGGGGCAGTGTGGAAAAAGACACAGAAGAGATGGCTTATTAAGGGAGCTACGGCGGAGACAGCCGAGAGAGCGGCTAGAAATAAGATCAGCAGGTGCCGGGGACGAGCCTGTGGGCCCTGGGGAACGATGGGGGAGTTGAGAGCCCTAGAGGGTACACTGTGAGGAAGGTCACGGCCTGGGATGGGGAACTGGGGGCTGTGGGTGGTCTACTCACTCCCCAAACACGCACAGGGGTCTAGGGGCCGAGGGAGCCCCGAGCAGACCGCAGCCTGGGGGTGGCTGGGGCCGGGTCCCCACGCGGTGAACTATAAACTCAGACCAAGACTGGGTTGGGCTGAAGGCCAGGCTGAGCGCAAAGACAAAAATCAGAAAAATGGGACAGGGCGGCGCTCAATCCTTGAATCCGGGTGGGTCCATCCCGTCTCAAGCCCGGCCAGGGGCTCCGGTAACCGAGGAGACTGGTTGCTAGGGAACCATGCAAGGAAGGACGCGCCCACTACCCAGTTGGCAAGCAGTCCGGCTTCAGGTCAGAAACCAGGCCCTTCCTTGGGAGCCGTTTTTCAGTCTGGCAAAGCTCGGGGCCTAAGCCAGGAAAGGCAACCAGTACGCGTATAGAGGGAACTGGAGGGGGAATGCCAACTAGAACCTAACGGAAAGGGCGGCCTGCATTACTGATTTCCCAGTCGCCCAGAGGTACCCGGCGTCCTCTGCCCTTAACCAAGATGGCCACCAAGAGGAGCCGGCGCGCTGTGGAATATGACGGCACTTCCGGCCCCGTTGCCCTCAGCGAAGATGGCGGCAGTGGAGAAGCGGCGGTTGGCCATGGCCCCGGCGGCCAATTTCACAGACAGCAGCCGGCCATCGGTGTCCGGGGCAGCGGCCACGACCGAAAGCGAGGAGGACTTCCTGCAGCAGGTCGGCGTGACAAAAATGCTGCGCGGGGCCCTGTTGAAGGTGCTGGAGGCACGGCCCGAGGAACCGATCTCCTTCCTGGCGCACTACTTCGAGAACATGGGCCTAAGTACGCCTGCAAACGGCGGCGCCGGGGAGCCCCCGGGCCAGCTCCTGCTTCAGCAGCAGCGCCTGGGCCGCGCGCTGTGGCACCTTCGCCTGGCTCACCACTCCCAGAGGTGCGGGACTGGGTCGGGACTGGGGCGGGCCTGGGCGGGGGTGGGGCGGTGTGGTGTGTCGGACTTCAATTCCCAGCATGCTCCGCGCGGTTCTTCGCCCGGGTCCCGGCGCTTGAGTGCGTGGCATGCTGGGAACTATAGTCTACACTGCCTCCCTGACGCTGAAAGCACCCAGCGTATGCTGTCAGTGACCTGCGTGCTATGCGCCGGCTTCAACTTTTGTGATGCCTTTTTGTAGGTAATGAGTTCCCCTTGCAGCCCACCCAACTTTTTTAAAATCATGGAGCCCAGAGAGGACTTTGCCCAAGGTAGAGCCAGGTCCCTCCTAGCTAGCTCATTACGAGCATAGAAACTCTGTCCATTGAGCCAGAAAAGCAATATTTTATAGGGTTGGGCTGTGGAGACAGAAAGCACCTAGTCACCCAATGCCCTTATCCTAGAGGGAGGCTCCCAGCGTGCAGAAGGGGTGTCCAGGAAGAGCCCTGAGTGACGCACAGAGAAAGGTGGTGCCCCAGATGCATCCGCCTGGAGGCCATACAGGTGCACTGTGAGACTCACTGCCTTCTCACAGCTGAAGCATGGTGGGGTAGAGGGGATGGCGCCTTCCCACTCCCCTCTAGTCCCTGCTTACCCACAGTTGTAAGCCCATGTAAGGTGGTTGAGGAATATGTGTTGAATGCATGGTCTGCATCAGGTGGATTGGGGAGAAGCATCATCAACTGGACAAAGTCACTGACTGGATGTGGGTGGACTGGGTCTTGGCTAGGGGCATCTCCAGCAGCAGAGCCTGAGGCAAGCACTCATATGGGGTGATTTTATAAGAGGGTGCTCCCAGGAGACCCCAGGAAGGAGGAAGCCAACCAAGGGAGCATTTCAGCTTGATTCCCAAGCTATTCCCAGATGTTTCTGGGCAGACCTCCAGAAAGAGTCACAGGTGCAGACCACAAGAAGGAAAATACAGAGATGTTGGGGAGGGAGCTCAGCTGTGGGAGTCGTGTGGAGAGCACGCATCTGAGCAGAGCAGCCACATCACCACAAATTAACACAAACTTGGTGGCTTAAAACAACAGAAATATATTCTCCCACAGGAGGAAAGGGAATGCAGGGTATCCAGGATGACAGCCAGACAAGAGAGCAGCTGGGTGTCTGGATGCTGGGGCCACCCCTGAGATAGGAACCTGGGAAGAGGAGCAGGTGGGACATACATGGGCTCTGGACATGCTCTGAAGGCCGAGCTGGTGGATTTGCTGGGGCCAGGGTGGAAGGGGAGTGTGTAGGGCAGTCCCAGGTATCTACTGAGATGGAAGGCTACTGGTTTGGGGGAAGTTGCCAGAGTCAGGGAGCTGGGGGAACCTTGTAGCAGGAAAGTGGACAAGTAGGTTTGCAACTGAGATGTGCAACTGGGACAGGAGGTTGTCAACTGGGAAGAATTGCGAAGGCCTCAGAAGAGCTGAGAAGAGCCCAGGCTCCAACTTTGAGGAGCCCCAGCCTCAGAGAACCCACAAAAAAATATGTGAAGGCAGACCAGTGGTGAAGGTGGGAACCAGAAGAGAGTGGCATCCCAGGACATCTTCCCAGGAGGAAAAGTGGTCCGTGGCAGGGCCACCGTGTACAGTTGTTCAGGCCAAGCAATGCACAAGCCACTCTCCCCGTAGACATCACAGCAAGGATATTTATATGAAGGCTTTTTGTAGAGTTTTTTCCTAATTCACACAAAGACACCGTGTGGGCTGGCAGTAGCCCTGTATCCAGTGGTCCAGTAAATGAAGGCTGAGAAGCATCTGTTGGATGTAGGGTCAACAGGAAAATGTATGAGTTCCCTCTGGCTGCTGCAACAAATTACCATAAACTTGGTGGCTTAGAACAACAGAAATATATTCTCCCACAGTTCTGGAGGCCAGAAGTCTGAAATCAAGGTGTTGCAGGGCCGAGCTCCCTCCAGAGGTTCTGGGGGAGGGTCTTTCTTGCCTCTCCTAGCTCCTGGGTGTCCCTGGGCTGGTGGAAGCCTCATTTCAGCTGTTGTCTCGTCATCACATGGCTGCTGTCTCCTCTGTCTTCTAAGAACATTTGGCATTGGATTTAGACCCACCTCACCCTATCTCCAGATCCTGAACTAATTACGTATTAAATACCCTATTTCCAAATAAGGTCACACTCAGAGGTTCCAGGTGGATGTACATTTTGTGGGGACACAAGTCACTGCAGTGCAGGGGAATTGGGGCTGCTGTTGTAGGCAATTGGGAGCAGCAAGGGCACAGAGGGAGAGCAGTGAGCAGGGGGTCCTTTACCACGCCTGGCGGGTCAGAAGTAGAATTGTGACCAGGAAGTCCCAGGTGTGGGAGACAGGTGCTCCCAGGTTGGGCAACTTTCCCTGATGCTGCAAGGTTGACCAGGCTATCATGAGGCTGTTCTTGAGCATGTCATCACAAAAGGTTTAGGGAGAAGTCAACAAAACCCCCTGTGCAGGTGTCTCGAGAGGTCAGCATTGCTGGCCTGCAGGACTGGTGATGGCATCCCATCGCCCCCCTGCTGGCCTCAGGACCCTGGGTTTCCTCGGGACTTGTGAGCACTGCATGGCCATGAGGGGACAAAGCCAGAGTCAGACCCAGGCAGTGTGGCTCCAAGAACTCCTAAGCCATCATGTTGCTAATAGTAACTGCAAGGATGCCATCCCCCACAGGTCCCTGTGACCTGGGAAGACATGCAAAAGGCACCAACAGGTCCGGGCCAAGGCTCCTGAGCTCACGTCACCTCTGAGGGCTGTCCTGGGTACTATGGAGTGCTGGGCATCATTCCTGGCCCCCACTCCTCGATGACTGGAGCACCCTGAGTGTGACAACAAACTACAAATGTCCCTTGATATTATCCAGTGTGCTCTTGGGGCAGGATTACCCCTATTAAGAACCCCTGGTCTAAAGTGAAAAGTCTCTCTAACTTTATGAGACATCCCATAAATATATTCTTTTAAAATATATATATATATATTTTATTGATTTTTTTACAGAGAGTAAGGGAGAGGATAGAGTTAGAAACATTGATGAGAGAGAAACATTGATCAGCTGCCCCCTGCACACCCCCTACTGGGGATGTGCCCGCAACCCAGGTGCATGCCCTTGACCAGAATCGAACCCGGGACCCTTCAGTCCGCAGGCCGACGCTCTATCCACTGAGCCACCGGTCAGGGCTCTGTTCTTTTTTGTTTTAACAAATGCTCACACATTTCACAAATTGCTGACAGGAATGGAGCCCTCAGTAAGCGCCCAGACAGGGACACCGGCCCAGAGTTCCATGGTGGAGCCAAGATGGAACCCAGGCCAAGTCCAGAGCCGGCTGCCTTCTTGCCCGCCCCCCAGATGGCATGGTTGCCCCTCATGATTGGGAACCACCGGGGGAGCCCCCCACAAGGGCAGTTATGAAGCCTCGGCCTAGAGTTGGTTGCAGCCTTCTGGGCTTCTTGCCCAATTCTCCTCATAGCTCTGATCTCACTGCACTGAATTACCCCTTTGCGTGCCTTCGAGGCCGGGAGTCTAAAGATAAACAGCTTCTGGACAGCCCGGCTGCATTGCAGCCCGGGTTATAGCAAATGACAAGCACACATGGGGCCCCTCCCACGTGCTGGCACAGTCTTGAGCACTGACTGGCATAAGCTCTACCCTTCCGTCCTCACAAGACTCCTGAGGCTCAGATTACAGCCCTCGTTCTCCAGACGAGGAAAGTGAGAGCAGTGGCTAGAGCTTGCGTGCAGGTCTGAGCTGGGGCTGGGAACACCCGGGGAACCAACAAGCACCTAAATGTTTGCCCCCTGATGGGTCAGCCAGATTCCTGGAGGAGAGGCTTCAGGGCCCAGTGTTGGATGGATCGTGGGCCACTTATGTACCAGTCAGGGTGAGCCGTGTCCCACCAAATGAACAAATACCCCGGAGACCTCAGTGGCCTCAACACAGCTAAGGTTTGTGTCCTCACACCACGGGACTGCTATGAGCTTACACCGTGGTAGAGGAGAGTGAACCGTGGGGAATGAAGCGATGGCTCTGAAAATTTCCATTAAACATGGCCCTGGCATTGCTCACAGGCACATTTCAGTCACCAAAGCAAGTCAGAGGGCTCAGGCACAGCGCGGAGAGGGCTGGACAGCACAGTGCTTTCCAGTCTTCGAGATGCCCCTGGAGGCCCTCACCTCTTGGTATTCACACCTGCATGCACTCATCTCCCACATCTACAGGATGTGTCACCTCTAGGCGTCATGGACGTGACAGCTACTTCTTCCTGAGAGCACACACTCCACGTGTGGAGGTGCTCAAGTCATCCCATGGGGATGCCCAGGGCCGGGACCCAAGGCCTCCTGTCTGAACCAGCAGTGAAACACCTCCACTGTCCAGCTTCGGAGGACCGTGGCCACAGCTGACATCCTGACCTCGACCTTATAAGGGAACAGGCCAGAATCCTCCAGCTAAGCCTCTCCCGGGTTCCTGCCATACAGAAACCTCGTCATAACTGTTGTTGCCATTTTAGGACACTAAGTTTGGGGGTAAGTTGTTGTGCAGCAATGGGTAACTGATACCGGCACTCATGGCCGCCACAGTTACACCAGATTCCCCAACTTCCTTCTTCTGGTGAAAGGAGCTAGTAAAAGCTCCTACAGAGGGTTATGATGTGGTAACAGTCGTCATCATGGAAACGAATGTTTGTTGAAACTGCATCTGGCACCCGTTCTGCTTCCCTGGATGGTCTTACTCACTGCAAAGGGCCCAATACATGGGAAGACAGAGGAGTTGATAGCCAGGTGGGTGCGAACTGGGTCCCAGCTGGGAGAGAGACCTCCCAGGCTATTGCCCTCACTTCTGTGCCAGTTTCCTATGTAATGGGGTTTTGACCTACATAGCTCATCAGGTCAGCACAGCCATTTATAAGCCTCATGCTGAGTCGACCAGAGTATAAGTTTACTGGACACCTATATGTTGGCCAGCACTTACTGGGCACCCACTGTACACTAACCCATAGAAAGGTGAGGTGATGTGCCCAGGTCACACATGAGATAAGAGTGGTGCTGCAGCCCTGGTCAGGTGGCTCATCGTCCTGTACACCAAAAGGATGTGGTTCAGTTCCTGGTCAGGGCACCTACCGGAGGCAACCCCTCAGTGTTCCTCCCCCCCCCCCCCCCTTCCTCCCTAAAACATATCCTTGGAATTGCTTCTCAGTCTTTTGGCTAAGATCAAGTGTAGTATCTGTTCTTATCCGTTTGAAAGATATCCTTGAGTGAGGATTGGAAAAGAGTGGAGCTGCAATGTGAACCATGGAGCTGAGCTCCCAGAAAGGATGAACATTAAGGCCTAGGGTCAGGCCCTTCCTCCCTGGGATCCTTGGTCCTGAACCTCACTTCCCAGCTGTGACTATGAAACTAGTAACAGGCCACCAGCCACACTAGCCCTGGGCCACAGGCCAGGTACCGGGCTGCAGATGTGATGGCAGTGAGGCATGGGCACCCACTGTACACTAACTGGTTAAGTGTGGGGCTCCAGACTCACCCTGCAGCTCACACACTTAGCCAGTGCTCCCCTACTTTGCTCATGAAGCTCACAGCACACATGGCCAGGGCTCATAGTAGGACCTCAGGTTGCTCATGTGGCAAGGAACCATACCCACCTCATAGCCCCCACCTTATAGCTGAGCAGGGTTGACTTCCGTAAAGGTGGCAAGTTCTCCCAGCTTTGCAGGCTGATTTCTGTTGTGAACGTTGGACTCTGCCATTGCAGCAAGGAAGCTGCCATAAGAAACATGTCAATGGATTAACGTAGCTGTGTGCCAATAAAATTTTATTTACAAAAACAGGCAGTGGGCTGGGTTTGACCCATGGCTGTAGTTTGCCAACTCTTGGCCAGTGGGACTCGGGGAATGGAATGAGATAGGCAGAGTGTTTGGCCAAGAGTGGCCACCCTGTAAGTGCAAGTGTCATCCTTAGAAGGGCAGATGGAGAGTCCCGAGGGCAGATGCTGGTCAGCTGATTTAGCAGGCCTTTATTGAGCACCTGCTGTGGGCGGGGCACTGGTTTTGCACAGTGACTGACATAAACCCTGATGTGGGCTCCTGGACATGCAGGTCGTAAAAACATAAACTCATAAGGACACCATATAGTGAGTCTGATGGTAGTAACTGTTAAAAAGAAAAATAGAGGAAAAGGTTAGGGAGGGGAGGGCCCCACCAGAAAGGTGACTTGGAGAGCCATGGGGAGAGCTGTGGGAAGGGCATTCCAGCGGGAGGTCACAGCTGTGCAAAGGCCCCGAGGCTGGGCCAGGCCAGGCATGTTGGAGGAAGAACAAGGGGGGACAGGAACCTGGACTAGGCTGGTGGGCATGGGGGTGGAGGGCCCTGCTGGGCTGGCCCAACACCCCTGTCCGCCTGCAGGACAGCCTTCAACAACAATGTCGGCGTGGCCTATGAGTGCCTGAGCGCCAGTGGGCGCAAGAAGAAGCCGGGGCTGGATGGGCGTACCTACAGTGAACTGCTCAAGCGCATCTGCCGAGATGGGGAGGCCCCTGAGGAGGTCGTAGCACCCTTGCTGCGCAAGATCCAGTGCCGGGACCACGAGGCTGTACCACTGGATGTCTTCCGCACTGGCATGCTCACCTGCTTTGTGCTGCTGGAGTTCGTGGGGCGGGCTGGCGCCCTCTACCAACTGCTGGAGGACCCCGCCCTGGCCGTTGCTGACCGCCGCATGAGCCAGGCGGTGCTGGACACCCTGGAGGGGGCCCTGCAGGCCAGCAGTGGCGCCTCCGCTCCCTCCCACTACCTGGAGGTTGGCTCACGCCTGGGGCCTGACAGCCTGGCGCAGGCCATGGACCGTGCTCTGGTGGCCCGGCGGTCCAGCTCCCCCATGACCCGAGAGGAGTTCCTGGAGAAGGCTGCTGCCCTCTTTATCGCCAAAGTCAAGCCAGTGGGCTGAGCCCCTCCTCACCTGCCTCCTCCACCCAGACAGCTGGGATGCTGTGAGGTCTGGCTCACCTGCTCCTGGGCAGAACATGGGTATGGGACCAGGGGACTGGGGTTTCTGCATGCAGGGGGAGGTGCGGAGAGCCCTCACCCAGCTCCAGATCTGGAATGATATTCTAGTCCCCTTCAGGGGGTGGCCAAGGGTACTCTGAAGTGGACACCCCTCCCCACATACCTGTAAAGGCCCCTCTGCTCAGCAACAGTAATAAAATCCGTATCCAAAGCCGACCTGACGTGCGTGCTCCCCACACTCCAGCCCTGTGCCACAGAAATGTTTCTCCCCCCAGCAGGCCCACCACTGCCCAGAGGCCATATTTGCCACCTGGAAATGCCAGGGTGCCCCTGAACGCAGCTTTATGGGAGCAGCGGGCAATGGGGTTTTCAGTGAGGGGCCCTAGACCCAGGAGGCCCTGCCTCAGGGCTGAGGACCTGCATGGCCAATTAGTCCCCAGCCCTGCTCTCTACACATGCCCCCCCCCCCAAGCAGTTCCTCCCTGAGCCTCAGTTTTCCCAGCTATCAGAGGAAGAGTTCACAGCAGATACTAATGGCAATGATGACAGAAACAGCATGTTTGAGACCTGTGATGTCTTATTTGACTCACCACAGCCCTATGAGGAAGGTAAGTCACTGCCCTCATTTGACAGATGAGGAAACCCCACGGGAAAATCGGGTGCTGTGGTCAGAAAACAGGAGGCAGAAACTCCAGACACCCGCCACTGCAGATTTCAGAGCTTGAGCAGGCTTTCCTGAGGGACCAGGCCCCATGGACCAACCCAGGGCAGGGGGCAGAGCCCAGCACCTTCCTTTACCTTGGCAGCACTTCCCAGTACATAGGGAGAGACTTTGGGAAACCTCTCTGGAAAAATCATGATTAATCTAATAACTATTTATTGACTAGCTGCCACATGCCAACACCATGACATCAGTTTTATGGGCAGACAATGAGGGTAACACCTGGGCCATTCAGCAAAGGCAACAGCCCATTTGACAGATGAGGGGCGCGGCCCAGGTCCCCAGGGTGCAGGGCACAGGCGAAGCCTAGAGCTTTATGGTTGAGAAAGCCAAGGCCCAGCTCTGAGCAGCCATTTGAGCTGCTGCTCTGCCGGGGCTCTGACTCTTCTGTCCTTCCCACTGTTGACATTTTATTTGCCTTTCCCAGAAGGTTGACCTGCCTGCCAGCTGGGGCAGGGCAGGGGGTCAGGTCCTGGGCATCTGGGTGAGGGTGTAACTTTGGTCCAGCCTGCAGCTGTTGCAGGTGTGGTCTGTCCGAGACACCTGCCAGGAGGGCCACCGGCACAGCAGGAAGCCTGGGCCACAACAACATGTTGGTCACCCTCACAGGGAGCTGTCACCTGCGGAGGTGGAGGAATGGAGACCAGGGCACCGCACCTCTCTCCTGGCCCAGGGACTCAGCCAGATCAGAGCTCGGGCAGGTCAGGGTGAAGCCCTGGGTCAGGACTTGGGCGGGGTCAAAGGTCAGCCTAAGATGCGGCCCAGCCAGGATCAGGGATCGATCAGTCTGGGGATTCGGCCAGGATGGGTGCCACATGAGTGCTGAAGGGGGAGTGGACTGGCTGACTCCCCAGTTTCTCCGTGGAGCAGCGTTTTGTCCATCTCTTCTGATTCCACTCGGTGGATCCAAATGGTGACTAAAGCTCTGCTCATGCCTCCTCACCGCCCTCGCATCCGCATCTGCCCGGAGCTGGGCCCGATCCTCACCCCACCGACGAGACACAGGCACAGCCCGCCCAGGACCGGGTGCGTGAGCTCCAGCGGGGCTCTCACCTGTCCTCCCGCCTCACCATCGGTGCGGCGTCCCTCCTGGGCGCGACCCGGGAAGGGAATCCGCCAGTCCCCCTCACTTACAGGAAAACAGTATCAGGACAGTGAGGTCACCACCCCGACACTCCGCCTCGCGCCCCGCCCTGGCCCAGCCCAGTTCCCAATTCCCCGCCCCTGCTCCCAATTCCCCGCCCCGGCCCCGCCCCGCGCCGGGGACGTCACAAAAAATGACCCCAAAAGCACGGCGTGCGGGGCCGCGGCGGCGCAGCCCAGTCTGCCCTCCTCTCTGCGGACAGGCGTCAGGGGTGCTCGCCGAGCGGGGGGCTGCAGCAGCCTCCCACAGGTCGGAAGCACCAAGGCACTGGGGCGCTCGGCCCCCTCCCTCCCGGCTGTCGCGCTCGGCGCGCGCCCGGCGGCCCGAGGGAGGGGGACTCCACTTCCCGGCGTGCCCCGCGGGGGAACGCAGGTGTAGTCGGGGCCGGGCCGCGGCACGCAGGCGCAGTCGGAACCCGGTGGCGGCGCGCAGGCGCAGCCCGGGGCGGGGCGCGCGGGCCGGGCCGAGGGGAGCTTCGGGCAGGCGGCGGCGCCAGAGCGAGTGGAGCGCTCAGGGGTCGCGGGCGGCGGCGGCGGCGGCGTAGAGGAGGAAGGCGGCGGCGGCCCCGGCGGCGCCCCCCCGGCCGGCGCGCGGCCCGACCCGGCCCGCGCCCCCGCGGCGGCTCCGCCACCCATCGCGCCCCCGCTCCCGGGCTCCTCCTCCGCCGCCGCCGCCATGGCCCGGCCGCTGGTACCCAGCTCACAGAAGGCGCTGTTGCTCGAGCTCAAGGGGCTGCAGGAGGAGCCGGTGGAGGGCTTCCGGGTGACCCTGGTGGACGAGGGCGACCTGTACAACTGGGAGGTGGCCATTTTCGGCCCCCCCAACACCTACTACGAGGGCGGCTACTTTAAGGTGAGCCCGCAGCCCATTCGGATGCCCCGACCCTTCTCGCATGGTGATCCCCCTCTCCCTTTGCCCAGGCTCTCCGCTGTCACTCGGGGTTCCTCAGTCACCCCTTCCCAGGCCCAGGAGTCCCCGAGAACTTAAACTCAGACCTCCCCCCCCCCCCGAGTGGAGGCTCGGGGCGCTGTTTTGTTTGGGCGGGTTCTTGTTTACTTCCCTCCTGGGAGGTCTCAGCCCCTGGTGCCCCCTTCCCCGGCCCCTCCCTGGCGAACCCAGCCTTCAGCCCCTTTCCCAGCCCCCTGCCCGGAACAGACAAAGGCCTCCCCAGAACCAGCAAGCACTATTGTTGGGGAGCACCGGCCTCGGGGAGGGCAGCGGGGAGGGAGGGTGGCCGGCGGGGTGGGGGTAGGGGCCTGGCCCCGCCACTTGCTCAGATGCTAACAAAGGCCTGGATGGGTTTGGCAGCCGGACCTGCTTGGAAAGCAGCCACCCTTGCCGATAGCAGCGGGCCAAGCCCTCGCAGCTTTATCCGGAGCTTTACAAAACCTGTTCTCTCGGGAAGGTTGGGGCGGAGGTGTCACTCCTACCTCCCCTGTCCTAGGAGCCACACTCCGGGGGGAGCCCCGTGGGCCTCCAGGACCCTCGCCTCAAAGTTCCAGCTCCTCTCACCCCAGCTGGCCTTGCTCAGGTTCCACTAAGCAGATAGCCAGAATCTCACTCTGGGCCGTTTCTGCTGTGGTTTAATTCCAAGCAGTTCCCTGTTGTTGTTGTTGTTGGGATCAGGAAAGGGAAGTAGGTGCTTTCCCTGGGGCTGGTGTGACAAAGGACTTGGGCAGCTTTCTCGTCCTCATGATCTTAGTCCAGATGTGGCCTAGGAAGGACCCCTTTCAGGTAGCAGGCCTTGACTTTTTGAGCCAGAGGGATGAGGCAAGGGGTCTCCCTGTGGGAGAGGTGAGAAATGAGCATTGAGCATAGGAACACACCCCATCACAGCCTGCCAAGAGCAAGGCTAGGACCTGCCAGGTTTTGCCTGGCTGGGAGGCCTGGGTGGGGAGCAGAAACCACAGCAAGGCCAGGCTGGGGGGTGGGGAGGGAGGGGCAGTGCTGCCCAGACAGATGTCTCTGTTTGCACTTTTGACTAATGTTTTGGTCTCACCTGCTCAGTTGTCTATGAGCCTGGCCTGCTGGGGTGGATGAGGGGAGGAATGTGAACAGCCCTGGTCTGAGTTGTGAATTTGGAGTCAGACTGCCCCAGGCAGGGAGCAGATTTGGGGCTGATTGCTGAAAGGTTTACCCAGCCCCCTCCCTAGCCGCCTTTGTCTGCTTGGAGAGCAGCAGGCTGCGAGGATAAGGGCTCCTTCAGAACCAGGATCCCACCCTTAGGCGAAGCCAGGCGTAGAGTGGTAAAGGATGGTGGTAAAGGATGTGATGTCTGGCTATGGCTTCCTCAGTGGTTGCAGGGATTGTGAGGAGAGCCTCCCAGGTTTTTCTGGGGATAATCTCATTTTCCTAGAAAAGAATGGATTGTGGAGGGAGCCTGCCAGACTTTGGTCACATCTGCCATAGGGTCTAAGGAAGCCAGTATGGAGTCTAGGGTGGTTCTGCCACCCACCCAGTCCTCCCATTCCGGTCTCCAAGTGGTCAGGTAGGGAGTGGGTTTAACCCTCTTCCGCAGGAGATGTGGAAATGCCCATGGGCCACCGTCACTTCCCAACCACTTCCTCCAGCAACTTTTCGAGGCCCAACCCAGCTGCCCCTAATTCTCCTTTATGAAACAGGCCCCCGGGCAGTATAGTGTGCTAAAGGGTGTCCGAGAAACCAGGTTCTGGAGCCTCCTGCATACTTCACTTGCTGTGTGCCCTTGGGGAAGGTGCTTTCATTCTCAGAGGTAAACAAGGCATGATGAGACCTGATGGGTGCTTGGTGCAGGGAAGGCCTGTCCCCCCTGCTCCACTGAGGAGGCCTCAGCCATTTCTCAGGTCGTCACTTAGAAGCCCAGCACTGGGCTTGGGGGACCCAGGTTCCAGACTTGTTCTGCTGCCACAGCTAGTGGCCTCATCATTTAGCCGAGAGCAGAAGGACTTGACCCAAATGGCCCCCACCCAGCAGAGATGCCCTGTTCCTCTGTGGCCCCTAGCCTGCTCTTCGCCCCTGAGAGCCTGAGACACTGCCAGGATCCTGGGCCAGATGTCCCGAAACCTGCGACTTGGGGCTTAAGCAAGCAAAAGAAGCTTCCTCACCTACTGAAACTGTGTAGCTCTGTCACCCAATCGGTCAGGTGGCCCTCCCCGTCTCCCACGTGACCTTCCTGTCTGCCTCTTGATCTCCCAAGATGGACACCTGTGGGCAGAGTGTGTCCACCCAGCACTGACTCATCTCCCACAGGGCCCAGGCCACAGAGGTGTCGGGAAGACCTGCCAAGTGAACACACATCTATTTTAATCCTCCCCACAACCTGGGCACTGAGGCATGGAGTCCAGCACTGTACTGAGGCACACAGCTCCCAGGGCCAAGGCCTAGGCCCCTGCTGGTCTGTGGAGCTGTTTGCTGGTGTGAGCCGGTGTGAGCCCACCTTGGGGCCCAGCCTCCTGACCCTCCTACAGGCCTGGGCCAGATGGGCCTGGAGCTGCTCCTTGGGCAAGTGCCCACACTTCCCAGTAGCAGGATGGTTACCAGGATCAGCTCAGGTGACCCCCAAAAAGCCCATGGCAACCTATTGTGCACCTGACCCCAGATCTATTAGGGGTTTGTGCGGCATGTGCAGGATTCCTTGTGCACACAAGTGCCTGTCCCAGCTGAGCAGCCCTTCTGTAGAGGGGTCTCCATCCCAGCCTGATGTCCTTGTTCGTGTGGTTATGGACGGAGTCCTCAAGAGGTATCCTGTCCTGTCCAGCCTGCACCCATACTCGGCACTGATGGGACAACAGGGCCAGCCCTTGTTGAGTCCTCCTGCTCTCTGCCCACCCCCCAGGCACGCCTCAAGTTTCCCATCGACTACCCTTACTCCCCACCAGCCTTTCGGTTCCTGACCAAGATGTGGCACCCCAACATCTATGAGGTGAGCCTGCCTCTCCCCACTTACCCCTCCCGGCCTCTCTGCAATGGGGGCGGGCAGGGGAGGGGCACTGTGTGGCCTGACATGCTGGTATGGGCACTGATCCCTCCCTCCTGTCCCTGCACAGACAGGGGACGTGTGCATCTCCATTCTCCACCCCCCAGTCGATGACCCCCAGAGCGGTGAGCTGCCCTCGGAGCGGTGGAACCCCACCCAAAATGTCAGGTGAGGCTGGTCAGCAGGTAGACGTGCCCCCCCGACCCCCAGCATTTCTGACTTCTTTGCTCCAGACATGGGGAGACACACCTGTGTCATCCTTGGGGTCACAGCTCCTTGCAGTGCTTTGGCATCTATTGAAACTGGTCTTCTGCAAGCGTGCTGGGGCCCTGGGGGTCCGGGGCCATCTCTGCTGGCCTCTCCCCTCATTTCCTGACACACACTGCCCCATCAAATGGGAATCCTGTGTTCATATCTTTCTGCCCACAGGATCTTCCCTCTGCCTTACCCTGAGGTCTCCCCTCCTTTCTCATCCTCACTGAGCCTAGCCAAGTCCCCAGGCCTGGCACCCCACCTCTTTGCCTGCATATCCTTAGTCCTGCCCAGGCCATAGTAAGAGATGGTAGCACAGAGGGACCCTTTTGCCAGGCAGGGCACTAGGGCGTGGAAGAGGCGTGTTTCAAGTGGAAGGAAGGTGCTCCTGGGCTTGACTGCCCACACATATCTTGTCCAGAGAGCTGGGCATGCAGCAAAGGGCAGGAGTAGTCAGGGAAGGCCCGCTGAGAAGTCTAGACAGATGTTGCTTTTGGGATAGGGAGGTACAAGGGGATCTCTGAGTGGGTATTGGCTTTATGGTGTGTCCAAAAACTCCCCAAGTGACATTCAGGCCTCAGAGGCTGCAAAGCTGGCATTTAGTGTGTTCTCCAATAAATAGCAGCCACCAGGGGGCTGTGCTCAGCCTGTGGCTCCTGCTACAATGTCGGACCTGGCTTCCAGGATGTGTAGTGTAGCCAGTGAACACCCCTCACACCCTGTACCCGCTGACTTTGTGCTCCCTCCCCCAGGACCATCCTCCTGAGCGTCATCTCCCTCCTCAACGAACCAAACACCTTTTCCCCAGCTAACGTGGACGCCTCTGTGATGTACAGGAAGTGGAAAGAGAGCAAAGGCAAGGACCGGGAGTACACAGACATCATCCGGTAAGGAAGGGCTCCCAGATAACCTGGCTTCTCACATCTGTCCACAGGGCAGGAGTCCCTAATGGGGAAACCTAGGCCACTGGACAGTGGAAAAGATCCAACCAGATTCAAGCCCAACCCATTAGTTCTTTCCTCCTGTCTCTCTCTCTCTCTCTCTCTCTCTCTCTCTCTCTCTCTCTCTCTCTCTCTCTCTCTCTTTCTCTCTTTCTTCCTCTCCTCCTCCTCCTCCTTCTCCTTTTTATTTTTATTATTATTTTTTAAAATATATTTTATTGATTTCTCACAGAGAGGAAGGGAGAGAGACAGAGAGCCAGAAACATCAATGACGGAATCGAACCTGGGACCCCTCAGTCCGCAGGCCGATGCTCTATCCACTGAGCCAAACCGGTTTTGGCTCCTTCTCCTTTTTAAAAGAAAATTGGGTGTTTTTTGCAATTTCAAATATCTTTCATACAAGTCCATGTATGTAATGTAGTAAGTAGACATACTGTGTGTGTGCATGTTGGGATATGGGTGTATCACACACACAGGCATAATAGTGCAGCACAGAAATAGATACCCAGGTGTCCAGCAGCAAGCTCCAGAGGTCCTCCCAGTGTTCCCTTTACCCCTTGCCCCCCTCTCTCCAGGGCAGCATCTCTGACAATGGGGGCCTGTGGTAAGTGTGTCCAGCAAATGGGAGTATGGCTTGCCTGTCCGCTTTTAGGTGCTTCATGACCCACATCCAGGCATACACATGTCCTTCCACTGCTTGTTTCTGTTCCTCATCAGTTTTTCATACGGTCATTTTTCCTGTTACTGAGATTGTGCTTTGTGTAATGTTTTATCTTTCCCACTTAATAATTTGCTGTTGCGAACATCACTTAAGTTTGTAATTTTGAAACTTGGAATCATTATTTAAAGGCAAAAAAGCCATATGGTATCAGCATATTTAGAAAATAGCCTTCTTTTCTGAAAAGATAATTTTTTCTTGGTTCTAAGAGCAATGTATTACTTAAGGATTTGCGAGAATTAGCCTCTTATTCTTGTAGTTGTTCCCAGTGCTCTTCCCTCACAAATGAGCAGGCAAACATCTTCCAACTTCATATGGCGGATTCTCAGCAGTGCGGGTGCCAGATCGGGGACTGAACCTTGTTTAGGGCTCTGGGTGTGCAGTCCATTGGCTTTCTGTCCAAGCTGTGTGACCCATTCTTTTGCCTATTCTGTTTGTCGAATTCTGTGAGCTCTTGTGTCCATTGTCCATTGTCACTTTTTATCATGGAGTTTACTGATTTGTTTCATGACAAACGGCCCTTTATTAGTTTTTTTCTAAATACTTTTCAGTTTGTCATTTACCTTTTATTTTTTATGTATTTATATTTTTATTGATTTCAGAGAGGAAGGGAGAGGGAGAGAGAGATAGAAACATCAATGATGAGAGAGAATCACTGATTGGCTGCCTCCTGCATGCCCCCTACTGGGGATCGAGCCTGCAACCCGGACATGTGCCCTTGACTGGAATCCAACCTGGAACCCTTCACTCTGCAGGCTGATGCTCTATCCACTGAGCCAAACCAGCTAGGGCTCATTTACCTTTTAATTAGAAAAGCAAATAAGAAGTTAAACACACCCCTGCCTTATGGCCCAGTCATTCCAGGCTTAAGTACTTACCCAAGAGAAACAGGCACATTCTGCACCAGCATCCATGCAATGTTCAAAACAGCACCAACTCGCCAAAAACAAACAACAACCCAAATGTACATCTACGGTGAAGGATGAGCAAGCTATGGCCTGTTCACCAGCCATGTGGACACATCTCCAGGTGTTAAGCTTCGTGAAGGAAGCTAGGCAAACAAGGGAGCACACTTCTCGACTGGAATCCTAGGAAGTGCATCTGTGGCCATCGGGGATATGGGCTTTAAGAGGCATAGGGGCCATAACCGGTTTGGCTCAGTGGATAGATCGTTGGCCTGCAGACTGAAGGGTCTCAGGTTCGATTCCAGTCAAGGGCACGTGCCCAGGTTGCAGGCTCGGTTCCCAGTGGGGGGTGTGCAGGAGGCAGCCAATCAGTGATTCTCATCATTGATGTTTCTATCTCCCTCTCCCTTCCTCTCTGAAATCAATAAAAAATATATATATTTTTTTTAAAAGGCATAGGGGCTCTGGCTTGTTTAGCTCAGTGGATAGAGCATTGAACCACATCCAATACAGCCAGGGGTGAACCTGAGGAGGGGTGGTGAAGGTTTAAAGAAAATAGACAAGAGAATACAGCTGGGGCTAGGTAGGATCACTACCTAGATGAGAAAACAGTGACAGCTTGTAAGCGAAGCTTTATTTTATAGTCAGATCACACAAAGTAAAACAAGGGGAGTTGTCAGCATGTTTACAATGTTCTTGCGAGTTTCAAAATCTATTTTGTTACTCAAGCCTTGTTTTGGCAGCACTTGCTGCACTGCCCACAGCTGATTAGCTACCTAGGAACAAGGGAGGACTATAAGGTCAAGCTTAATTGTGCTAAGAGGGATCTGCCCTCCAAGCTGGGACTTGTATGTGGCTCTGCCACAGGTGAACCTGAGGCTTGACTCTATAGCCCCTCCCTACAGAGCGTCAGCCTGTGGACCGAAGGGTCCTGGGTTCGATTCTGGTCAAGGGCACATGCTCAGGTTGCAGGCTTGATCCCCAGTGGGGGGGTGTGCAGGAGGCTGCCCATCAATGATTCTCATCATTGATATTTCTCTCCCCCTCCCTTACTCTCTGAAACCAATAAAAATATATTTTAAAAAATAAAAATAAAAGAGGCATAGGGGCGTCTGGGGTGATGGGTACATTTGTGATCTCATTTGTGGGGTGCTTTCAGGAGGCACATGTGGGTCAGAGCTCACTGCTGACACATTACATGGGTACAGTTCGTGTTAATAAAGCTATGGACAAATCAAATAACGAAGGCAAAAACATTTATGTACAAATAGAAGCAAAAACTCCATGATCCTAATACCTAATGGTTAATGTCTGGGTGTATCCTTCCAGATGTTTATCCAAAAAATGGGACCACGCTGTATAGGCCACTTTGTAACCAACTTTTTAGTCAGGTTTGTTGAGATGTCATGTCCAGTGGAGCTCATCCTTTTTGGAGTCCGTTTGATGAGTTTTGATAATCTCCTTGCTGAGGTGCAGATCCAGCTCCACCACCTGAACTTTCCTCCCACTCTACCCCAGCAGCCCCTGCTCTTACCTAGAAAGTAGGAAACAGCCTTTAGTAGCTTCCTGGGGCCTGATCTTTGAGGCTGTCCATGTGTTTACTTGTCATAACTTGCTTTTCCCTTCCTAAGAAACCAACCATTTTTTGTCTCTAAACAGCCCTCAGTCCTCCGTTTCACCTCATCCTGCAGTTTGACTAGTCCCCTGTCTTACCCACATGTGTGTGCACCTGTGAGCAGATGTACGCACACACATGGCATTGGTGGCCTTGCAGTGTCAGGTCTTCTACCTGTCCTGTGGTGCCCCTCTCTATCAACTTCTGTTTTCTTTTCCCTTACTAAATTCTGCTGGCTTCTTTTAGTCTGGCCTGTTTTTGCTGGTTGTTCTGTAGTGGTTTATGTAACAATTTTCTAAACCACTTTGACACACACAGCCCCCAGGGGACCCATGAGCAACAGGGTGCACCCTTCTCTGTATCCCCCTATGGTCCCGGGAAAGCTGTCCTTGATGCTGGGCAGTCTTAGTTTCCAGTCTGTGGAGCTGATGATGAACTGTGATGCACATAGCAACACTAGTCCCCCACCAGCCATCCTAGGAGGTGCTTGGCAAGCACCTGCTCTGCCAGCCTCATTTGATACTTGTGCACAACCCTCAGGGTCTCAGGGTGAGTGCTGGGTGGCACCTTCAGAGTATCCTGCCCACGTGGCCCGCTCCTTTGCCAGTTCTTCCCCGCCACCTCCCACATGGTGCCGAAATAAAATCCAGACTATTTTTATCCCTCCAGACTCCCTGTGGGCCAGCTCACATGTGCCCACGTGGGTAGCTGTGATGGCTGCTTTCTGCCTGTGTGCTCACCCCCATCTGCGTTCCCACATGTTCTGTCAGCGTGACCAGGCAGAGCCCCTGGTGGGCTTAGAGGTTTTAGCATCTGTGGATTGGTCCTGCGAGGTTCCAGTTTCAGATGTACTTGGTGCTGGGGCTGGGGTGTTGACGGTCAGGTGTATGTCCCATGGGATGTTACTACCCGGTGTCACCTCATTTGTCCTCCCTTTCACTGTAAACAGGAGCATTTCCCAAACCTCGCCTGCTGCCTCGTGAGCAGTGCAGTGCTGAGTCCACACTTTCCAGGGTGAGCTCGTCCCATCCTTTCTCTCTCTCCCAGGGTGCTGTCCCCACCGTCCACTTTTCCTCCCTCTGCCTGCCTCCTAGGCTCCTCAGCTGGTTGAAGTCCTCAGCTGTGGCCCTGGAGGACTAACCCCCCCTTGATATTTTGTCAGCTGGGTTAAGTGTACACTTTCATGGCAACCTTTTAAACCTAGTGTAGCAATCTTCCAGGATCCTTGGTCCCTGCTGCAGTGCCCCCTGTGGCTTGGCCTCGGTCAGGCCCCTCCCTGGGGCTTAGTGCACAAGTCACACTCCACAAAGCTGCCTGGTCACCTCCTTTCCTCCAAGGGCATCTGGCTATGGATCCTGACAAGGCCATAGCTCGCCTGACTCCCTGCCTGTCTCTCCCCCAGGAAGCAGGTCTTGGGGACCAAGGTAGACGCGGAGCGGGATGGTGTAAAGGTGCCCACCACGCTGGCTGAGTACTGCGTGAAGACCAAGGCCCCGGCGCCCGATGAGGGCTCGGACCTCTTCTACGATGACTATTACGAAGATGCTGAGGCTGAAGCTGACAGCTGCTTTGGGGACGATGAGGATGACTCTGGCAACGAGGAGTCCTGACACCATGTCCCACGCCGAATAAACTTACAGATTTTACCTCACCAGGCCCAGACTCTGTGGGCTCTCGGGCACCTCCTGACGCCGAGACTACCTCAGGGAGGTGGCTCCGCTCTTGCCTTGTCTCCTTGGTCTCGCTTTCCTTTTCCCATGTTTGTTCTGGGTTTTCCTCTGCTTCAGAGAGGAGGGGCCCCGTTAGTGCTGGGCACCTGGTGGGCCTTGGGGCAAAGGTGGCCTGAGGGGCCCGGACTCCAGCCCTGTCTACTGGAGCCAGAGACTTGGGGCTCCCAGCTCATGAGTGGACAGATTAACTTGTCGTCACCTCTTCTCTCGGCTTTGGTTTGTTTGGAATCTAAATAAAACAACTTTATGAGAAGCCCAGAGACCAACCTTTCCTTGGCCTCCCCAAGGACTACAGGGTACAGTGGCCGGGCCTGATGCCTGCAGCACCTAAGTGCATGGAGCCCAGGGGCAGGCCTAGCACCTGGGTGCACTCCTGAGGCTGAGGATGGGCCCAAGGTCCTGAGCCGTAGGCTGGAAACAACCTGCCACCTCCAGCCCTCAGGTGGCTCCACCCTACTGCCTGCAGACGCTGCACCCAGTGTCACCCAAGCCTCTGACTTTATTTCTGTGTAACTGAAAAGCCTGGAGCAAGCTGGATCCAGGGTCCGATGGTGACATCAGAACAAAGGCCCGAGTGAGCCCTGGCCTGACTGGTTACTGTGGCTGGAGCCTGTCTGACCCCCATGCAGGTGGCGGACAGGTGCACCTGGGCCCTGGCAGACCCCGTAGAGCCTACGCACTTGGTCTGCTTCCTGCTCCATGAATGCACCACAGCCCCAGTGCCACAAGCACAGCTTTTATAGTTGGCCCTCACAATTTTGTTTGTTTGTTAACATGAATGATTTTCCTACATTAAAATGTGCAAAGTTTCACCCAGTTGTTTTAACTTCTTGCTTTCCTTAAACTCAACTGGTGGGCAGCACAGGGCCAGTGAGGCTCCTCTACTCTGACGAACACACCCACTCACCAGAGTACTCAACTGGATTTGAGCAGAGTTCCCCCACCCCCATGGCAACCACACCCTTCCTCCTCCCTGGGCCTTGTCTAGGAGCCTCTGAGCCCCACTGTGCGTTACAGGTGAGGCAGCCCGCAGAGCACCCATGAATATTCTTGGACCCCCACATGTATGACCCTCTGCAGGCACCAAGGCCAGGACAACAGCCTGTGTTTTTAACTTGCAGGCACCTCCTGCTGCTCAGGCCTGGGGACGTACAGCCTCTCTTCAGTTCCTCTTTTAAGTTGGAGGCATTTCCTGAGGGGGAAGCTGAGTCAGCCTCTGCACCTGCGGGTGGTGAGGGGGAAGATGTCACCCACAGTGTGAGCTACTCTCGGGCTGTTTCCTGTGAGCCCGGCAAGTTGGTGGCAGCCTCCAGAATGGCAGTGAAAGGGAAGGGCCTCCTGGGGCCCAGGAGCCACTAGCCTGCACCAGAAAGCCTTATATTAGCAAACCAGGACCCTTGGCCAAACTAGCCACACCCACTTTACCTGGGTCTGGCTGTTTATGAGCTGCAGCTTCAGTACTGAATAATGTCCCAAAAAGCCAAAAGTACTTAGTTTGGCCATTTATAGAACATTTTGTCAACCTCTGTCTTAGGGTCATGCCAGCACCCACTGCCACCCTCTGGCTTGTTGGTTCAGCTTCTCTCCTTTGGACCTCTTCCCTGTCTCCACACTCCCAGTGCTACAGAACAAACCACCTGAACTCAGTGACATAGAGCCACTGCCATTGTATACTCCGCTTCTGTGGGTCAGGGATCATGCAGCTTGTCACCTCGTCACCATGTCTAGGTGACTTAAATCCTGGGACCTGGGGTCTTCTGGAGGCATCTTAACTCAGGTTGGGCGCCTGGGCTGGGGCAACTTCAAGCCCAGGCTCAGAGGGACTGAGTGGCCCGCACATGCCCCCACACCCACCACCAGGGCTTCCTCTCAGCATGGTGGCACAGGCTCCAAGATGACGGTCCCAGGAGCAAGGTCGTTTCTGAGCAGCCTTGGAGGTCACACCACGCCACTTCAGCTGCACACAATTGGTCTAAAAAGGCACAAACCCACCCAGATTCTAGGAGGGGGGACACAGACCCTACCTCTTGATGGGAGCATGTCTGAGAATCGGTGGCCATGTTCTAAAACCACCGCAAGCCCAGTCACCGTGGCTCAGTGGTTGAGTGTCAACCTACGAACCAAGAGGTCATGGATCAATTGCTGGTCAGAGCAAAAACAGGACACATGCCTGGGTTGTGGGCTCAGTCCCCCGGGGGGTGGGGGGGAGCGCGGGTGGAGGGGGGCCATGCAGGAGGCAGCCAATCAATGATTCTCAACATTGATGTTTCTATTGCCCCCTCTTCCTTCCTCTCTGAAATCAAAATGTTTTTAAATAAATAAATAAAACCACCACAATCTGCCCTGGCCAGTGTGGATCTGTTGGTTGGAGCATCGTTCCATACACCAAAAGGTCGCAGTTTGATTCCCAGTCAGGGCACATACCCAGGTTTCAAGTTCAATCCCCAGCTGGAGGCAACCGATCCTTGTTTCTCATATCAATGTCTCTCTCTCTCTTTCTCTGTCCCTTCCTCTCTTTCTAAAATCATAAAAGCATGTCCTTGGATGAGGGGTTTTTAAAAATAAATAAAACCGCCACAGTCTGTCCCCTTTTCCTCCATAGACTGTACTCCACAAGATTGCCAACAGAGCTTTTCACACACAGATGTGACTAAAATATCTGAGGCCTCCAGTTTTGAATCATCTTTACTGACCAAGCCAAGGACAGGTGGCTTTGACATGCAGAACTTCAGTGTTCTAAGCTGCATAATCTATATATATATATAAAAGTCTAATATGCAAATTGTCCCCACGGGAGTTCAACCGGAAGACCGATCACTCGCTATGACATGCGCTGACTACCTGGGGGTGGTGTGGAACGAAGGGAGGCCCTGGCCGGCATCCGGAAGGCTCCGATCAGCCCTGATTGCCGGCCAGGCCTAGGTACCCTACCTGTGCATGAACTTCATGCACCGGGCCTCTAGTGGAGTTAATAATTAGAGTTGAGCCCTAGCTGGTTTGGCTCAGTGGATAGAGCTTTGGCCTTGGACTGAAGGGTCCCAGGTTCCATTCTAGTCAAGGGCACACACCTTGGTTGCAGGCTCCTCCCCAGCCTGGGCCCGGGTCAGGGCTCATGCAGGAGACAACCAATCGATGTCTCTCTCTGTCTCCCTGACCTGTGGTCAGCAGGATAACAGCCCCAGAGATGTCCATTCCCTAATCACAGTCTGCTCTGGGGAAAGGCAGAAAACAGTTCTTCCCTGAGGTTCCTGCCTACACCGGGGTTTAGCCCAGTGAGGCCCACTTACTACTTCTAGCTTCCAGAACTAAGAGAATAAATTTGTGTGGTTTTAGGCACTGAATGTGAGGTAATTCCTTAATCTGTTACAGCTGCAGGCGGAAACCAACATCCCCAAACTCCGCTTTCTCTGTGTGGGCCTCCTCTCACTTTGGGCCCCCCCCCAGTCTGACATCCTTCCAGCTCCAAGTCCAGCAGAGAGTGAGGCCTGTTTCTGAAAAGTTCCAGTAGAAGAAACCTACACCATGGCCCTCAATGAGACTGCTTAGAACAGTGGTTCTCAACCTTCCTAATGCCACCTCCCTTTAATACAGTTCCTCATGTTGTGGTGACCCCCAATTTCATTGTTACAAATTGAACATAATTAAAGCATAGTGATTAATCACAAAAACAGTATGTAATTATATATGTGTTTTCCGATGGTCTTAGGCGACCCCTGTGAAAGGGTCGTTCGACCCCCAAAGGGGTCGCGACCCACAGGTTGAGAACCGCTGGCTTAGAACATTCTGCCCTGAACCAAAAGAGGGGGAATGGAGCAATCTGATTGGCCAATTTGGGTCACATGGATAGGGAGGGCTGAGGAGTAGGCTGGGAGGAAGGGAGGACTGAAGCCCCTGGGAGCCTTCATAACTGCCCCGGCCATGCCTGGCCCAGAACAGACATCACTGCTCAATATAGCACTCCATGCAGGTGAGCCTGACTAGGACCCTCAGATTTGTGGTCATCCCCCAAGTGCTCGTAGCACACGAGTGTTCCTATCATCTGTATCCAGAATAACCAAAGTTTGGAAACAGCCCAAGTGTCCACAGAACGATGAAGGGATAAACAAGATGCGGTCCATCCATACAATGGAGTGATTCAGCCTTACAAAGGAAGGAAACGCTGCTATGTGTTACAACATGGATGAACCTTGAGGACATTGTGCTCAGAGAAATAAGCCAGACACAGAAGGACAAACACTGTGCAACTCCACTCATACGTGGTCCCTAGAGGAGTCAGATCTGTAGAGACAGAAAGTGGATAAGTGGGTGCCAGAGACCGGGGGTGGGGGCAGGGGAAGGTTTAGGGTTTAATGGGGACAGACTGTCAGTTTGGGAAGATGAGAAAGTACTGAAGATGGATGGTGGCGTTGAGTGGCTACACAACATGAATGAGCTTAGTGCCCCTGAGCTGTATATTTAAAAATGGTTAAGATGGTACATTCTCTGTTATATATGTATTTCGTCATGATAAGAAACAGGGGGCCAAGAAAACAACCACCTTAAAACCACACACACAGAGGTGTGAGATGGGGGTTGAACATGATGGGATATTAGATGATGAGGGGGAACTTTTGTTAATTTTTCAGGTGTGATGTGTAGTGTGGTTTTTCTCTTCAGAGAGACTTTTCTGAAATGCTTTTGGGTGAAAAGCAACTAGCTGGGGGTGGGGTGTGTGCTGTGGAGAGTGAAGCTGTGAATGCGACCTCCCCTATAGGAAGGGGCGGGTGGGGTGGAAGGTGCTGGGGGCCCAGGCAGCACCCGAGGCTGAGTTCCCCAGCGCCATGGAGGCCTCCTTATCTCTGCTGCTGCTGCTGGCCCCAGGGGTCCTTTGGGCAGGTGAGTGGGAGCTGAGCAAGGGGGGAAATGCCTGAAGGTTTGGGCGCCGGGTGTTCATGGGTGGGCATCACAACACATTGGAAACAAGTCCGTTGTCCCCAGAAGGTGACTGATGGAAGAGAGGTCGGCCACTCCAAAAAGGAGGCAAGGCTGAGCCGGGGCCCTGAGGTAGAAAAGTCAGGTCACATCAGGACACTTTCAGATTTTTTCATTTGGACTTAACTTTGATCTTACAGAAAAGTCACTAGAATCCTACAGGTAACTCCCATCTCCTCCTCCTAGATTTCTCAATTGTAAACCTGTTGCCGCGGTTGCCGTATCAGCCGCCTCTGGGTGTGTGTATAAAAAATAAACATATGTGTTATTGTTATGAATCAATAGAGAGTAAGTTTCAAGTGCATGGCCTCTCACTCTTAAATGCCATGGGGTGTCTTCTGTGAGCAAGGATGTTCTCTACACAATCATGGCAGGATTCTCAACACGGTGCATTCATATTAGCTCATCTACAGACCTGACTCAAAAGTCCCTATACGCGTTCCTCATGGAAACAAACCACCCGACCTCCTCCTCCTCCACTACAGGCACTTTCTTCGTTTCCCCCTGGGTCTTGTGATGCTGGTATTTGTGATGCCTGTGGGTCTGCCTGCTGTGTCCCTGAGGATGGGTTCAGGTTGTGCATTTTCTGCAGGAATCACAGAGGGTTCGCGCCTGCTTCCTGGTGCCATTGTCTAGATCACTTGGTGAAGCTGACAGTCACCAGATGTCCCCAGAGTAAAATCATTAATTTCCTCCTGTAGTTGTTTTATGGGGAGACTCTGGGACTCTGAAAATATCCTGTGCTCCTCACATCTCACCCTGGAGCTGGATTCACAGAGCACCACAGAAGGTGGGGCAGATGCAGACTTTTTGCTTCCTGGCAGCACCCGACAGGCAGGGTCCTGATATACATACTGGCTTGCAAAGCAAGAAACTACAACCTAGTGAGTGAGGCGACCTGCCCAGCATCGCCTGGTTGAAAGGACAAAGCTGGAATTTGAGCCCCTGCTAGCTGCCTCGCCAAACCATATATGTTTGGCCAGGACTCGATGCCCGGGAGCTTAAGATAAAAGGTGGTGGGAGATGGGCATCGCAGAATTCTAGCGGGGCTGGAGGACTGTGTTGAATTGGGGACCCAGTGGGATATGTGTTCAATCACCCACCCATCATCATTTCTCTCTCTCCCTTCCTTCCATCCATCCATCATTCTTTCTCACTTTCTTCCTTCCTCCCATCTATCGTCCATCATCTTTTCTCCCTCTCCCTTCCTTCTATTACACATCCATCCATCTTTTTTTTTTTTTTTTTCATTACCACCAAACCAGCACTTCAAGAAATGCTAAAGGGACTGTTGGAAGAAGAAGAAATAGAAAGAGAGGGAGGAAGGGAACATCGATGTGAGAGAAACACATGGATTGGTTATGTCCCACACATGCACCCCAACTGGGTGCTCTACCCACTTAGCAACACCAGCCAGGGCTCTCCATCATTCTTTCTCTCATTCTTCCTTCCTGCCATCCATCATCCATCCACCCATCATCCTTTCTCTCTCTTTCTCCCTTCCTTCCTTCCATTCATTTATCAGCCATCCATCATTCAGCCATCAGCCATCCATTCATCTATCACCCATTTATCCATCATCCATTTACCATTCATCCATTCATCAGTTGTCAGCCATCCATCATCCATTATCTATTTTGTCATTCATCCATCAGTATTTGCCGAGCACATACTCCTCAGGCCTTTTGCAAACACGACAGACTAGCAGGGTAGACAGTCAATGAGCAGGTCTGTGTGCGACACACTGGCAGGAAGCGCTGAGTGCTAGGGAGAGAACAGAGCAGAGGACGCGGAGGAGGGTTATATTGAGGAAGTTGGGGCGCAGGGGTCTCTGAGGAGATGGCGTTCGAGCAGATACCCAGGGAGGAAGCCAGAGTTGGGAATGTTTGGAGGAAAGGCTGCCAGACAGCGTGTGCAAGGAGCCTGAGGCGGGAATGAAGGCAGCGCACTGGAGGAGCCGCGGGGGTGGTGTGGCTGCAGTGGAGTGGGGAGGTGTGGGAAGGAGGCAGGACTCGCTGATATGGCTCTTGTGAGTCATGGGGAGTTTGGATGTTTAAAGCATGAAGGGGAATCATAGGAAGATTTTGATCTGATTTACATTTTAAAACTTTTAAAAATATATTTTTTATTGATTTTAGAGAGGAAGAGAGAGGGAAAGAGAGATAGAAGCATCTATGATGACAGAGAATCACTGGTTGGCTGCCTCCTGCACACCCCACACTGGGGATCGAGCCCACCACCCAAGCATGTGCCCTGACCAGGAATTGAACCATGACCTCCTGGATCATAGGTTGACACTCATCCACTGAGGCACACCAGCCAGGCCACTTTAAAACTTTTTATCAACCTTTTAAAATTAATGATTGGCCCTAGCTGGTTTGCCTCAAGTGGATAGAGCGTCGGCCTGCAACTAAAGAGTCCCGGGTTCGATTCCAGCCAAGGGCACGTGCCCGGGTTATAGGCTCAATCCTCAGTAGGGGGCGTGCAGGAGGCAACCGATCAATGATTCTCTCTCATCATTAATGTTTCTATCTCTCTCCTTCTCCCTTCCTCTCTGAAATCAATAAAAACAAAAAAATAAAATCATGATTGATTTTAAAACAATTTTTATAACATTTTTCTTTTGTTTGTTTTTAAAATATGTTTTTATTGATTTTTAGAGAGAGGAAAGGGAAGGGATAGAGAGATAGAAACAATGATGAGAGAGGATCATCATTGATGGGCTGCCGCCTGCACTCCCCCTACTGGGGATCGAGCCCACAACACAGGCATGTGTCCTGGCCAGGAATTGAGCCCTGACCTCCTGGTTCCTGGGTCAACACTCAACTGCTGAGCCACACCAGCCAGCCTATAACATCTTTATTGAGATATCATTCACATGTCGTACAATTCACCCTTTTAAATGATATAATTCAAGTGTTTTTAGTGCATTCGGAGTGTTTTGCAACCAGCACCTCTATCTAGTTCCAGAACATTCCCATCACCCCAAAATGCAGCCCCATCCCCATTAGCAACCACTCCCCATTCCCTCTCACAGCCCCTAGCATCCATTAACCAACCCCCTCCTGTTCTCTGTGAATTTGCCTGTTCTGGACATAAATGGAATCATACTGTGTGGCCTTTGGTGTCTGGCGTGTCTCACTGAGCATCATGTGTTCAAGGTCCATGTGTAGTGAGTGTCAGGGCTTCACTCCATTGTTATTCATCACCTGATGCTGGAGATTGGGACTGTTCCCGCTTTTTCGCAATGTGCGCCCCACTGCTGTGAACCTGTATGAACAAGATTTGTGTGGATGTATGTTGTCATTTCTCTTGGAGGGGAGTTCCTGAGTCGGGTGGTAACACTTTTAACCTTTGAGGAACTGCCAGGTTGTATCCACAGTGGCTGCACCATTTTATATCCCATGGAGGGGAAGTGAGGGTCTAGTTTCTCCACTTTATTTATTTATTTTTAATATATTTTTATTGATTCAGAGAGGAAGGGAGGGGGAGAGAGAGAGATAGAAACATCAGTGATGAGAGAGAATCATTGATTGGCTGCTTCCTGCACGGCCCCCTGGCATATGCAAGCCGGGCATGTGCCCTGACCGGGAATCAAACCCAGGACCCTTCAGTCCACAGGCCGACGCTCTATCTACTGAGCCAAACTGGCTAGGGCTAGTTTCTCCACTTTAAACAGCTTCTCCAGCTGCTGCAATAGGCTGCCGCTCTGTGGTGCCCAGGGATGGAATGTGAATGCCAGATGGTCACCTGCTGGTAACCAGGATGTGGGGGTGAGGGATGAGGAGGGATCAAGGGCAGCCCTACCTGTCAATCTGAATGTCCCGGGTAACAGAGGGGGCTGTGTTAGGGTCCAGGCTTCTCGGGCTTGGGGTGGAAGGGTCATGGTGGGGATGGGGCACCCAGCCCTAACCTGGCACTCTGTTCCTCTCCCCAGGAAGTGTCGCATTTAAGACCCACATCATCGGTGGTCATGAGGCTGCCCCCCACTCCCGGCCATACATGGTCTCGCTGCAGAAAGCCGGCACCCACTTCTGTGGGGGAGTCCTCGTACACCCGCGGTGGGTGTTGACAGCTGCCCACTGCGTGGTTCAGCCGTGAGTGACCCAGATTTAAGCCAATTATAGGCTCATAAGGGTGTCCCCTTTCCCTCTCCTGTGATTGCTATGGCATGTGTGCGTGACATGGCCTGAGGCATGCGTAAGTGACATTAGGCTGCAGGATTCCTAGGGAAGCTTTGCTTGATACCACAAAGCACCTTCCTTCTGGGCAGAGTTAGGCCTCTTGTGACACCCAGGAATGTGTCTCCCACTGTGGCCATGGGGATAAAGCTGGTCTGTGAGGTGGCAGAACCAACCCAGGAAGCCACCAAATAAATCAATCTTGGAGCTGCCCTACCTCTGGACTAGCCACTACTAAAGATCCAAGATCAAACTGGTCAAAGTAACCAAAGGGGATCTGTTGGCTCGAGTAACTGAAAAGTCTAGGAGGACATAAGGCTTCAGGAACAGCTGGATCCAGGTGCTTGCACGAGCTAGTTAGGAGCCTGCCCCTCAGCTCTTCTGTTGTGTCCCTCGGCCATATAATTAGGAAGGTTCTCACAAGGTGGCAAGGATGGGCCCCCTTAGATCCTGTGGAAAGTTTGTTTCTCTATAGTTGGGGCAAAGTTATGAGGATCGATACTGATGAGCCTACCTAGGACTTGTGCCAGCCGTAGAACAAATCACTGTGGTTGAGGTATAGCGTATGCCCTGGATGGGGCTGGAGCCCCTCTGAGGGCAGCGCCACACGGAAGGTCACCATTTTTGGACACACAGCGCCTACCTCTGGTCAGGAATGAACTGGAGTCTGGGGCAGGGGTGGCAGCAGGGATAGCTTCTTGGAGAAGGTGGAGAGGAGGCAGTTGAGGAGGAGCAGGGGGGGGACCAGGCAGAGAGAGGCCTGGTAAGGGAGCAGGGGGAGGGGCAGGATCGAGGACCCCTTGGCCTTGAACTCAGCCTAGATGGACCCTGGAAGCAAGGCTCAGGGTATGAGGGGAGTGGGGGTCCGGAGGCTGCAGGATGGCAGCCCGTACCCTGATCCTGCCACCCACAGGACCCAACAGCTGAGGCTGGTGCTGGGGCTCCACAAGCTCAGAGACTCTGGCCTCACCTTCCGAGTCAAGGCAGCAGTCCTGCACCCCAAGTACAAGCCGGCCCCCAAACTGGAAAACGACCTCGCGCTGCTTCAGGTGAGGGGCCTGGCGGGAGGAGAGACAACTGCACCCAGGTCCCGTCTCCCACCTGCCGCTGCCCCACTGTCTCTCACTCACCTGTCTCTTTCTGTCACCTGTAGCTGGACGCTAAGGTGCGTCACAGCAGGACTGTTCGGCCCCTGGGCTTGCCCCGAGGGCGCCAGGCAGTGGCAACAGGAGCAAGGTGCAGTGTGGCAGGCTGGGGGCTGACCCAACAGAGCGGGCAGCTGGCGGGAGCGCTGCAGGAGTTGGACATGCATGTGCTGGATGCCAGGATGTGCAACAACAGCCGCTTCTGGAAAGGCAGCATCACCCACAACCTGATCTGCCTGGAAGCCAAACCCAAGGATCAGGGCCCCTGCAAGGTGAGGGGCAGCAGCAGGGAGGCGAGGCAGCCTGGCCTGAGGGGAGGGCAGAAGCCTCAGCCAGGGGGGACCTGGGCCCCAGTTCTGTCCATTCTCTGGAGAATTCTGGAGATTGGTACTAGCATTACTATTTCTCAGATACAAAAACTGAGGCGCAGAGAAGTTTAATAATTTGCCCACGGTCACATAGTCAACGAGCAGCAGGGATGTGCTTTGAGCTCTAGCACCAAAGATAATTATAGCATGTGCAAAGGTCCTGGGATGGGAAGAAGAAGCAAGGAGTGTTTAAAGAACAGGAAGGAAGGAAGGAAGGAAGGAAGGGAGGAAGGGAGGAAGGGAGGAAGGGAGGAAGGGAGGAAGGGAGGAAGGGAGGAAGAGGTGGGGTGGGGGAGTAAGATGTGTGTAGTGACATGTGGGACCAGGGTACACAGTCAGCCTCCCACCCCCAGGAATAATCATGCTTTGTCCAAGTGACAACAAATGTAACCTGTGTCCTGTGGGTCTGGCAGGGGGACTCAGGCGGGCCCCTGGTGTGCAGCAAAGGCCGGGTGGCTGGAATCCTGTCCTTCAGCTCCAAAGCCTGCACTGACATCTTCAAGCCCCCCGTGGCCACCGCCGTGGCCCCCTACATGTCCTGGATCAGGAAGATCATCGGCCGCTGGTCGGGCCCCCCACAGGCCTGATGCTCCACGGGTGACCCTGGCTCCTTCCTTTGCAGGACCCTCCCTTGCAGGATTATGGGGAGGGGCAGAGAGGGGACCGGACACAGCTCAGAGAACCAATAAATTGTAATAAAGAAATTGTAAGAGTCCTACCTGGATTCTTTTATTATTATTATTGATTTGAGAGAGAGAGAGAGAGAGAGAGAGAAACATCAATGATGAGAGAGAATCATTGATCAGCTGCCTCTTGCATGTCCCCTACTGGGGACCAAGCCCGCAACCCGGGGCGTGTACCCCGTCGGGGAATCAAACCATGACCTCCTGGTGCATAAGTCAATGCTCAGCCACTGAGCCACGTGGCAGGGCGAGGTTGCACTTTTGAGGCGGCTGCAGGGAGCCCAGCAGCAGGCGAGGGCAGGCTTCTCCCAGGAGGGGCTCCAGGGTGAGGCCCAAAGGGTGGCAGGGGATGCCACTGGGCACAGCTGGGAGCCACAGCCAGAGTTTGGCTGGCAGGGGGGATGCTGGTGCTGGGGAGCCGGGTGGAGGTCACTGAACAAGCATTCCAGAATATTCTTCTTTTCATTTTTTAGTAATATCTTTACAGTATTGAGAAATAATTCACATGCCTTACAGTTCATCCATTTAAAGTGCATAATTCAGTGGTTTTTAGTATGTTCACTAAGTTATATAACCATCACCTCTAATTCCAGAACATCCCATTACCCCAAAAAGCAGCCCCGTCCCCATCAACAATCACCTCTAGCCCCTCCCCAACCCCTGACACCCCAAGTCCACTTCCTGTCCCTGTGGATGTGTCTGTTTTGGAGTTATCACATGAATGGAATCACACACTCTGTGGCCTTGTGTCTGGCTTCTCTCACTGAGCATCATGTGTTCAAGGTCCATCCACGCTGTATCGAGTGTCAGTGCCTCGTTCCTTTTCTTGGCTGAATAATATTCCACGGTGTGGATGGATATATTGTGTGTATCCATTCATCCACTGAGACACTTGGGCTGTTTCTCTACCTTTTGGCTGCTGTGTACGTGGTGGCTTTTCCTCTCTGACTGCTGGTTTCCCCCCGCTGTCATCCCTGCCGGCCCCCCTCAGCCAGCACATGGTCCCTGACTGTCTTTGCAAGAAGCTTTGGTTTTTGTTGTTCTTCATCCTCCCCAAGTGAGACCGGATTTGGAGGCACCGCAGATCTGAGAGGCACTGGACCAAGATCAGTGGAGGCCAGGCCTGTGTTTGCAGGGCGGGAGCCACCCTAAGGGAGAAAGCTTATCTTGCCTTCTCAGCTGTTCCTTCCTGGCCCAGCTGGGTCCCTGCTCCACCCCCAGGTGTACAGGAGGTCTGGGGTTGCTTAAAGGGACAGAGGAAGCCACCAGCTCGATGAGATGCTGCAGCTCCCTCGGGCTGGCGGGCTGGTGGGCTGGGGGGCTGGTGCGGAGGGAAGGTGCTGAGCAAGGCCCTGCACCCGGTGCCCTGTCCTGCCTGGGGACTCAGAGCACTTCCCAGCTGGTTTCTGAAGGTGTCCACGGCTGAGTGCGCTGTGCTCCGGTTTCTGATGCTTCCACCTGGACAGATAGAGAGGGGAGGGCGACAGTGCCAGAGTGCTGCCCCTGGGGGCCAGAACAAAGCACCACAGACCAGGTGGCCCAGAGCAACAGACATTTTCTCCCCACCTTTCCGGAGCCACACATTGGAAATCAAGGTGTCGGTGGGACCACACTCCCTCCCGCCTCCCGAAGCTCCAGGGGAGGGATGCTCTTGCCTCTTCCAGCTTCTGGGGGTTCCCCCATTCCTGGGCCTGTAGAAGCCTCACCCCAGTCTCTACCTTTTGGTGGCTTATCCTCTGTGTCTGTGTCTCATCTGTTTCTTTAAATATGTTTGTATTGATTTCAGAGAGGAAAGGAGAGGGAGATAGAAACATCAATGATGAGAGAATCATTGATTGGCTGCCTCCTGCACGAGCCCCCAGCTGCCACTGGAGATGGAGCCCACAACCCGGGCATGAGCCTGACCGGGAATCAAACCGGGACCTCTCGGTTCATAGGTCGACGTTCAACCACTGAGCCACGCCGGCCAGGCTATGTCTCATCGTTGGTCTCCTATAAGGACACCAGTAACACTGGATTTAAGGCCCACCTAATCCAGGACGACCTCATCTCAAGACCCTAAACTTAATTACACCTGCAAAGACCATTTTTCAAAATAAGCTGCCACAGGTCCTGGGGGCGACCATTCAGCCCACTGCACCCTCCTGTCCGCTACCCCAGTCCACTCCCAGCGCTCCCGGCCCCTCTCCCCTCAGTGGTACATACAGATGACGACCCTCCCTTTCTCCAATCCCTCCCAGGGCTCCCCAGTGCCCAGAGAATAGAATCCACACTCTCCCCCACCCCTGGAGTCACCATCTGGGGAGGGGTTGGATTTCAAAGCTCCACCCTTTCAGAAAAATACACAGAGTTAAGCTGGAACATTTTAGGATAAATGGATGGAGTGGGTGTGAAGAGAAGAAAAACCCTATGCCCTTTCTCTCCCTGTGTCCGTGAGTACGAACGGTTTTATAAGAAAAAGTAGGAAGCAAACAAACCAAAGCCAACACCCTGTGACGGAGCCACGTCTGGTGTCCTGAGTATGAGGCACTTGAGCCAGGACCGGCAGGAGGGGCCTCTGCCAGGAGGTGGCCAGCACCACAACGTACGGAGGGAGCCAGGCTACAACCTGGGGAGGGCATCCCTGGCGGCAGGCCAGCCCGGGCAAAGGCTTGGAGGCAGGAAGTGGTGCCAGTGAGGCGAGAGCCACGGCTTTGAAGAGACGGAGGGTGCTGGTGCCCAAGGGGTCAGCAGGGGCCAGGCCTGTGGGCTGCGGAGAGAACCTTGGCTTTTCCTTTCCCTGCACGAGGAGCTGGAACAAAGAAGGAAGAGCTGCCTGCCTTCTTCCGTGGCCTCTCTAACCAGGGAGGCCTGTCCTCTGCCCAGAACAAAGTTGGAGAGACAGGCTGAAAGAGAGAGTTGCTTGCCCAGCCAGCGAGCGTGGCTCCGTGGTAGAGCATCAACCCTTGAACCAGGAGGCCGCGGGTCGATTCCCGGTCAGGGGCATGCCCGGGTGTGGGGTGTGCAGAGGCAGCTGAGCAATGACTTTCTCTCATCATTGATGTTTCTATCTCTCCCTTTCCCTTCCTCTCTGAAATCAATAAAAATATATTTCTTTAAAAGAAGAAGAAGAAGAAGAAGAGAGTTGCTTGTTTTGCCCTCTGTTGGAGGAAGAGGTCCAGATCTATCCCAGAGGGTGCAGGCACCGGAGGTGGGGCAGGAGCAGGGGGAGCGGGGAGTGAGGACCACCCACAGCTACGCAGGGGCAGCTGTTGTGTGCAGATGAGTGCACAGCAGGAGCCCAGATGAGGTGGTTGTCCCTGACCTCACACTAGGTCAGAGCGTGACCAGTGCCATGAGGGCGATTACAAAGGGGGATGGAGCCAGGCTGCCTTCAAGTGGGTCAGAGATGCCAGGTGAAATACAGGGTGGCCAGTTAAATTCAAATTTCAGATATAGAGCCGATAATGTTTTTAGTGAAAGTACGTCCCAGATACTGTGTGGGATATACTTATACTAAAAAAAATTACTGCTGTTTTAAAAATCTGAAAGGCCAATTTAACAGCGTGTCCTGTATTTTTACTTCCTAAGTCCGGCTCCCCTGATGGGGGTCCTGAAGGCCTGTCCCTGGAAGCAGCGGGGGACTCAGATCCTCCTGCCCAGGGGTGGGGCCAGGACTGAGCCAGGCAGGGATCTGGGGAGTGGGGGTGAGGGGGCACGGCAGGCTTTCGAGGGAGAGGATCAGAAAACTGGGTCTTCAGGAGACTGAGCTTTATTTTGAAAACAAAAGCAAAGGCTGTCCTCAGCCCGGCCTAGGGAGGGCAAGGGCGCAGGCTAGGAGAAATTCCACCTCCCAGGCTGTAGGGGTTTTGAAGCCAGCTGGCTGTCTTCCTCCCTCATTCTGCACGTAGCTCTCGACCCCCATCTGCGTGGCCTCGTGGCCTTGTTAAGCCTGGGGCTTTCAGTTGGCTCTGAGGCTCCCAGGGCCTGAGAGTGGATCTGCCAGGAGTGAAATCCTCACCTACAGTCCCATTATCAGCAAGTTGTGGCCTATCTGCTCCATCCTCCCAGCCTTTTCCTTGAATGTCCGCTGCAGCTGGGACTCCACAAGCTCTGCCCGGCCTCCTCTCTGGATGCTGCCTTCCCCACCTGACAGGCTGTTGTCAGACTGCCACTCACTCCTTCCCATGGCTTCTGCCTCCTCCTCATTCCTATGTCACCTTGTGTGTCATTGACAGCAAGAAGCTGCCTGACCCCTTCTGCAAAGCAGCCCCCCTAATATCACCCTATTATTTTTTTAATCTTCACCTAAAGATATGTTTTTATTGATTTCAGAGAGAAAGAGAGAGAGAGAGAGAGAGAGAGAGAGAGAGAGAGAGAAACATTGATGTGAGAGAGAAACATGGATGGGCTGCCAGGGCCACCCCTTTTTGTTGTTCATGTTCACCTGAGAATAGTTTTTCCATTTTTTAAATTATTATTATTATTGACTAGAGACCTGGTGCACGAAATTCATGCACGGGTATGGTCCCAAGCCTGGCTGGCGGTCGAAGCGCGGGTGTCTGACGTGGAAGGGTAGGTCCCAGCTGACCTCTGGGCTCTGGGCAGCACCTGAGCCCCCGGGCCCTCATAAGTCCCCCTCTGCCCGAGTCCCCATGCGGAGATGTGGTGAGCGAGGCTGGACACCGCGGGCTGGGGAGCAGCGTGGGCCTCTGGGCCACCCAGCAGCGCCACATAGAAGCCAGGTCGGCCTCGCAGACTGGCTCCTGCACAAACTCACAAGGAACCGAACTGGTCCCTGTGGTCCCCACGGCTACAGTCCGGCTCACCTGGAAGACGCAGCGCGGGTGCGGGGTGGGTTCCTCGTGGGCACCCAGCAACTGAGCACGGGGGCTCCCCCGGCATCCCGGGGGAAAGTAGCGGGGGAGTGAGAGCGAGCTTGGCGGACACCCCAGATTCTCACGGCACCTCTGTCCCTGTCACCCCCACCCCCACCCCCAAGTAGCCAGGGAGAGGTTTCTGAGCCCGCCATGTTCCGGGCCGCCCCCTGGTGGTCAGAACACGTCATACCAAGCTATCGAACTCTCATTCTCCCATCAAACTCCCAAGGGGACACTTTGCATATTAGCCTTTTATATAGATAGATTTCAAAGAGGAATGAAGAGGGGAGAGAGATAGAAACATCAATGATGAGAGAGAATCATTGATTGGCTGCCTCCTACATGCCCCACACTGGGGATCAAGCCCTCAACCCAGGCATGTGCCCTGACCAGAAATCGAACCGTGATCTACTGGTTCATAGGTTGAAGCTCAACCACTGAGCTATGCTGGCTTGGCTGCTTGTGTTTTAATACTTATCTGAGGGTATGTTTTATTGATTTTAGAGAGAGGGAGGGAGAGAGACATCAGTCATAGATTGCCTCTGGTACAAATTTTTTTTAAAATTTATTCTTTTAATCTCCACCTGAGGACAGAGAGAGAGAGAGAGAGAGAGAGAGAGAGAGAGAGAGAGAGAAACATGGATCTGTTGCCTTCCATAGGTTCCCTGACGGGATCAAACACAAAACCCAGGTATGTGCCCTGAATCCAATCAGCAACGTTTTGGTGCAACGGACGACACAACCAACTGAGCCACTCATTATCTGCCTTTTTATTACAGTCATCCTCGTGTTTGTGAAGTAGTGTCTCACTGTGATTTTGATTTGCATTTCCCTGATGACTCATGATATTGAGCACTTTTCATGGTCTTACTGTTCACTTGCATGTTTTCTTCAGAGAAATGTGTATTCAGAGTCTTTGTTCATTTTTAAATTGGGTTATTGTATTTTTAAATTAAGTTGTAAGTGTTCATTATATATACCCTAGATATCAGTTCCTTATCAGATACATGATTAACCAGTATTTTCTCTCATTCTATGAGTTGTGTTTTCACTTTCTTGGTGTTCTCTGAAGCACGAAAGGTTTTATTTTTTTAAAGTCCAACTTATTTTTTCTTTTGTTGTGTGTGCTTTGTCATATGTAAGAAATTGTTGCCTAATCCAAGGTCACAAAGATTACATTACCCTGCTTTTGTTTTAAATTATTTTGTAGTTTTAAAAATATTTTTATTGATTTCAGAGAGGAAGGGAAAGGGACAGACAGAAACATCAATGATGATTTCAGAGAGAGGAAGGGAGAGGGAGAAAGAGAAACATCAATGACGAAAGAAAATCATTGATCGGCTGCTTCCCACACGCCCCACACTGCGGATCAAGCCCCCAATCCGGGCATGTGCCCTGACTGGGAATCGAACCGTGACCAGTTCATAGGTTGATGCTCAACCACGGAGCCACACCAGCCTGGCTATTTTGTAATTTTTTAAAAGTGTTTGTTGAAAAACATTGGGAACTCAGGGTAGGTTTTCCAGAAAAAATACAGGACTGACAGTTACATTTGAATTTCAAATAAATAGTGAATATTAGATAAATAACGAATACTTTCTTTGCATCACTATGTCCAAATATTGCATGGCATAGTTTCATTAATAAATTACTCATTTTTTACCTAAAATTCAAATTTTAACTGCCTTCAAGGTGTTTTCACGAAATCTGGCAGTCCCAGCCAGAGGACTTATCCCACTTGTTCACAGGGATCCATATGGGCCTCCTTAGCGTTCTGTGTGTCTGTTTTTTGGAGTGTGGTAAAATACGCATGATACAAATTGAGCATTTCAACGACAGTCACAGTTTAGTTGTCAACACAAGTCTGGACAAATGAAGGCCCCGCCCCCGTTTCCAAGCAAGGTAGCCACACCCCCAGCTCGCAGGGCGTGGCCCAACGCGGTCACGTGACGCGGCCGCCTAGCCTTAAGCAGCGCTGGCCTGCCGGTGTGCCGGGGCTTGCGTGAGTACGTGCGTCTGCACGCGTGCGCAGACGGCTCCTCCCTGTGCACCCCGACCCGGCCCGCCTTCCGGGTTCTTATAGCGCCGCGGGCGGCGGTTGGCGACGGGGACGACGGCGGCGACATGGCGGCGGCACTGCTTGTGGTTCTGGGGCTCGTCCTGAGCATCGAGAGCGGCTCCGGGGCGGGTGAGGACTGGGAGGGGCGGGCAGGGGCCGCCGGCAGGCGCGGGCTCGGCCACTGGGGCGGAGGGGGATACCGGAGAGCTCCGCGGGCGGGAGTGCCCGGGGTCAGGAGGCGCCCAGGTGTTCGGAGGCACCCACGGGACTCCCCGCCGAGGTAGTGTGTGGGGAAACCTTGCCTTAGGGGCCTGAGATCCGACAAGGGAGATCCCTGGAGGTGAAGTCCTAGATTTCCGACCGCCTTGGGGAGGAACGGGGCCCGGGAGGGGCCTGGCCCGTTAGGAGGGATTCAGGAGGCGGCCTCCCACCCTCTCCCTGCGGGAGAGCGACCCTGCGGCTGGGTCTTGCAGCGTCTCCTTTGAACGGGAGCCCAGGAGCCTGTGGAGGTAGCTTGAGGGTGGGCCCCCGCCCGGGGTGTGCTGGGGCGAGGGGTGCGGCGGCGGAGGGCCCCCTGGACGCCCCGGACCCTTGGCTCGCGTCTGGGCAGCAGGCTGTTGTTCTTAAGTGGACGCTGGAAGCACATGCGTGTGAGTGTCCCTGAGGCAGGCGGCTCTGCAGCTGGCAGGGATTGTCATTCTTGCCGGGATTTAGGTCTGAGTCTTGCCCCGGCTATGCCCCTGCCCCTGGTATCCTCATGAACCTTTGAGTTTAAACCCTGGTAGAGAGCCAACAGGCTCTGCCGCCTGTTTTTCTGACTTCTCGGCACAGATAAAAGGTCTAGTCCACACCTCCCACCTTTTACAGGGGTGGAGTGGGCCGGGAGGGAGGGGGGATGTTCCAAGGTCACCGTAAGGTCGCCCTGGCCACTGGTAACGAGCAGGAAGTGGAGAGAGTTTTTGCAGACTATCAACAGGCATTACATTTTGGAGCTGTTCTTGGGGGTGGACAGATGTGGTTTGAATGCTCGTGAGAAATGGACGGAGGTATCGTTTTCCAGGGGAAGGCCTGAGAGAGACGTTCCCCCCCCGCCCCCCCATATGAAGACTTCCCATTTGGTTCTGGGTTAAAGATTTATAGTGGCCAGAATGGAGGGAACAAAGTGCAGACCAGAATGGTCTGGGCCTCTTCTGGGGAGGCAGGACCTGTCGGGCTCTGAGAGGCTGGTCAACTGCCCTGGGCAGGAGCCCAGAGGGACTGCCTCTAGTGGAAGCTTCACTGGGGTGTTCCTGATCTGTTTTATGATCTCAGTTCGCCTCTTTTGTCTTCATTATCATCAAAATAGCCATGTATTGAATGCTTCTGGGTAAGGGCCTGGCTTCCTGCCAGCCCTCTCTGGAAAGACTCAGGAACCTGTAGACAAGTGAATTAGGAGGCTACACAGCTGCGTTTGGCAGCTTGAGCCCTTTGGAGATAGAGCCCTCGACGGCTGCGGACGGGACGGCCAGTGGGTGGAAGCCCCTGTGGTCTCCCTCTGCTGGGAGCACAGTTCCTGAGCTTGTGCCTCTCTCCCTGGAGCAGAAGCACTGGGTGCTTCTGAGCCCCACCCAGGAAGCCAAGAGGATCTGTGCCGTTTTGCATCTTTGGAGCTGTTCTTCACACTTGCCTGAGTCTGACTCCCGGGGACTGCTCTGTGTTTTGTTCTTTCACTTTGGACAGCCCTCCTTTTCCCAGGGTATCTTGGAAAGATCTGAAAGTCTTTCTGAGGACGTCACCACATGTCCTTTTTCTGCCTAGAAGTGTTTGCCTCTCCGGGCCAGGTCAGCGCCCCAGAAATGCTTTGGCCCCCTTCCAGGAACAGGTTCCTTGACCTGAGCATCAGCAATCAGCACCCTGTCCCCTGAGACCCAGGGTCCATTCTCCTGCCAGGACACCCTGGCTCTCCCTGAGATTACCCAGAATCCTGGCGTGTTGGCCAGAAAGGTTGGGAGGGCACGGGCTTTCCAGCTGATGACTTGGCCTCTCTGAGCCTCAGGTGAGGGGAGCAGGAGCTGCTTCCTGATGGGATGGAGGGAGAGGGGAAGAGCCACAGCTGGTTTCCCGGAAACATTCTTGGCTCCTATCTGAGCCCTGCAGTGAGGCCATGGGTGGGGAGAGGGCGGGTGCCTTCTGTCTCATCCTGCAAGTTCCTTGGCTGTTTACCACGAGGCCTGCCTGGCCCCACGCCCCGGCCTGGCTGCCGAGTGGGCACGGAGGAGGGGTAGCTGTTTTTAGATGAAGGTGACTTCACTTGAGAACGTGGGTTACAGTCACGGGGCCAGAATCACAGAATGGAGTTTTCACTTTTCTCTCCCTGTCTCCTGGTGTAGTGTCCTAAGGGTGGAGGCTCCTGCCTCTTCTCCCTGTGAATTCTAGGGGTGCTTCCCCCAAGTCACCTGGGCACTGGGTTTGGTCAGGGGTTGCCAGAGGATTTGCTTTTCAACCTTTCTCCAACATTGCTCACTGCCCTCCACCCCCCTGCCCCCCGCCCAGGAGTCTTTTGAGACTATTTTTCCTAATGGCCCTGTCCCAGTGATATTTTAATATCACAGATTTTAACATCACTTACAGCAGCAAGTCTCTGTGTGTGGTGACCCTGGGTAGGGCCACAATCATTGTAATGCCTAAGACACCCCCCGCTTCCCCCTGGGAGTGATGTGGACCTATTGAGGAGCACGAGAGAGATGTGTGCATGGTGGCCAGCTCATAGGAGACTCCATGGTGGGAAGGCTGGCAGGTGGCCCAGGTGGGGCCTTGGTCCCCTGCTGTACATGGCCCTCAGGCTGGAGCAGGGGTGTCTGCCTAAGGGGCTTTAGGCTCACTTTTGAGCCACCTCATTCTCCCACAGGGAGGCAGGTGCAGCTGGGACAAGATCTGACTGACCTCCTTTCTAGCAGCGCCTGGGTGAGGGAATGAGAGCACAGATGGGGGTCCCAGGCTCTAGAGTAGAGAGAGGCAGGCCTGTCGGAGTAGGGCTGCCTTGACCTCACTTCCTACCCTGACTGCTCCCAGCTTTTTATGTAGCTGCTTGTTATGCAATCTTGGAAATTTTGATTCCTGAGAAGTGTGGATTACCAGGAGGCTTCCAGATCAGGCAGTGGAGCTTCTAGCTTCACACCCCTGTCTGGTTGTAACTGTGCCTGTCCTGAGTCCTGTGAGGTGCCTTCGGGCCACCGCAGGTGGGGAGACCTGAAGGTCCTCTTGTTCCTGGGACTTTGGGGCCACCTTGCCCCAGAACAGGCAGCCTGAGGCCCCAGGACCTCCTGGCCAGCAGTCTGTGCTCTCCTACACGCAGCAAGGGAGCCATGTGCATGTATGCACACACATATGTATGTGGGTACACATACATGTGTGTGCCTGCCTCTATCACGCACATATGCACACATGTAATGGTTCATGTATGTACATGGCCTGGGATCAGATGGGTGCCCCAGCCCCGGAGGCCTCCTTCTATTTTCTGTCTGGCTGTTGAACTTTTTTTTTTTTAATATATATTTTTATTGATTTCAGAGAGGAAGGGAAAGGGAGAGAAATAGAAACATCATTTATGAGAGAGAATCATCAATCTGCTGCCTCCTGCACGTCCCCTCCTGGGGATCAAGCCCGCAACCTGGGCATGTGCCCTTGACTGGTATCAAACCTGGGACCCTTCAGTTCCCAGGTGGACGCTCTATCCACTGAGCAAAACCAGCTAGGGCTGGCTGTTGAACTTTTTGCTTCATCTCCTGCTTGCCTGGAATTCTGAGTCATCCTGTCCTCTTTTAAAGAAAGAGCCAGCAGGTGGCCAGTGGTGGGTCAGGAGGACTGGTCTGCTCAGGAAGAGGCCCTGCCTGGCTGTGCATGTGTCCTGTTCACAGGCAGGCCACCATCCTCCCAGACTAGAAACACAGCTGGGCAGCTGGGTCTGCATGTGTCAAGTTCGCAGTGGGACAGGGTGGGGGTGCCAACAGCCCACTGAGGACATAGTGCCAGGCCCCTAGCTATTGCCCTGGGACCCAGTGCAGGTTTGGGGTTGGACTGCACCCTCAGGGCATGCTGATCTCAGCTGCCCATGGATCGTGCCAGATCCAGCTGCGATGTCTCTTGAATAAAGTTTTCCTGCTGCCCTTTGGGTTTTGAGGTTTAATTTTCTTTTGTTAATCATCCGGGGATATTTTTTCCATTGATGTTAGAGAGAAGGGAAGAGAGAGAAACATCAATGTAAGAAAGATACATCGATTGGTTGCCTCCCACACATGTGCCAATTGGGGTTGGTAATTGAACCTGTGACCCTTTGGTGCCCGGGCTGATGCTCTAACCCAGTGGTTCTCAACCTTCTGGCCCTTTAAATACAGTTCCTCACGTTGTGACCCAACCATAAAATTATTTTTGTTGCTACTTCATAACTGTAATGTTACTACTGTTATGAATCGTAATGTAAATATCTGATATGCAGGATGGTCTTAGGCGACCCCTGTGAAAGAGTCGTTCGACCGCCAAAGAGGTCGCGACCCACAGGTTGAAAACCGCTGCTCTAACCACTGAGAACACTGGCTTGAGGTTTAATTTTCTTAATGACTAACCCGGTCTCTCTGTGGATGGGTGAGGCTGAGCAAGCTTTGCTTACATAGTGAGAACCTGGTGTCCAGTGGATGCAGGATACCTTTCCTGTCATTTCATCTGGATTGGCAGTATTAGGCCTGAGCCAGAGGTTTGCTGCCCAAGGATTCAATTTATACTGTTGCTGAGTTCCAGGCAGCTAAGATAACCATTCAGACAGGGGTCACTACCTCTAGCAGTTCTGCCCAATTTCATGTGTTTTGTTCTGTGATTTCACAGTTTTGCTCTAAAAAGTCACTATGTGAGGAAGCAGGGGTCCAGGTGGGGCAGGCCTGCTGAATGGCTGCTAGACTGCTGGGTTTCTTGTAGCTGCTTTTCTGGAATGGTTGACTCTGAACGGAAGTTGTTCAAATATAGTCTCGTATTCTGCTTTTTCACCTAACTTTATACCACAGGCTTCTCCCCACAAACTAAAAGGAAAAGAAGCTCATTGCAAACAGTTATGGCTGGGTCTGTTTATGCTCAATCCTGTGGGCATAGCTTTTAGAAGGGATGCCTTGCCTTAAGCGTCATCCCAAGCATCAGAAGGTTGCTGGTTTGATTACCGGGTCAGTGTGCAGGTTGAAGGCTTGATCCCCAGTAGGGGGCGTGCAGGAGACAGCTGATAGATGTTCTGCTCTCACATCGATGTTTCTCCTCTCCCTTTCTCTCTAAAAATAATTAAACCATTAAAACAAAAAAGCCCTAGCCAGTTTGGATCATTGGCCCGTGGACTGAAGGGTCTTGGGTTCGATTCTGGTCAAGGGCACATACTCAGTCACTGGCCCCAGTCGGGGTGCATGCGGGGGCAACCAAAGACATCTCCAGGGTTCTAGCCTGTGGGTGACCAACCTGGGAAAACAGACACTTCTGAGTAAAGCTCTGCTTCGGAGCGATCCCAAAGAAAGCAAATGGAGGCCAGTGTGGACAGCCCTGTGGTGCCTGGGACCCCATGGTGGTTGGGCAGGGCTCCGGTGTGGACATGGATGTGCTCACTGCCCCACCAATGGTGGTTAGCATCTGGCACGGCTGGGCGGTGGCAGACCCTGCCCTCAGCAGAGGTCTCCATTTCCCTCACCCTCAACTTCTGGTCCATGGAACACCTGCCTGACTTTATCTGAACACTGGGAGGGCTGGGTTCCACCTCCCATCCCTGACCCTGAGGAGGGGTTCTCCCAGCTCATCTCCAGTCTCTTGTGCTTCTCACCTTCTGGTTCCTAGTGATTTTCACATTTCGATTCTTCAAGAGGCCATCTGAAACTAACGGGAAGATTTGCCTAATTGGAAATTGAGTTGAAGGGCCTTTACTGATTGAGTCCACCCTCAGTGTCCTGGGCAGGACAACATACTGTCTCCTGTACAGTGATTTTGTGGCAGTTGTGAGTGGGCTGTGGGAACTCCTCCTGACCTTCAAGGAAATCAGGATCTGTGCTGGGCTGGACCCACGAGTTGGGACCCTGGGTGGGTGTTGGTCTCTGTCCCCACACCTGCGATCCATGTCTCCTTGACAAAACCTGCCTTGAGCCCTGCATCCTGCCCAGTAGCCCATCACACCCAAAGTCCATTAGTTCTGTAGGAGGTTTCCTTCCTGAACATGCCAGTGCGATTCGAGACTTGTTAACAAGGCCGTGGCTTCCCTGCCAGGAGGTGCTGTGACTGTGTGGAGGAGCCACACTGGATTAGTTGCGGGACAAGTTGGCAGGTGGCTGTGGGGGTTACAGGCTTTGTCCCCCTCTGATCCCTTGGCTAATCTCTCATTTGGCCACACAGGGAGCAATATCACGACTTCCAAACTTATTGTTGACTCCAAAACACGCCTCACCTGCACCTTGGATTCCAGTGACACTGCCATCCTGGGACACCGCTGGACGAAAGGGGACAAGGTGCTGCAGGAGGATTCGGAGCCCGATCTGACAACGCAGTATGAGTGCGTGAGGCCCATGGAAGCACCCAAACCCCGTGTCCCGCTGGGCCTAGCAGGAGAGGGGTGGGCCTCATTTCAGGGAGCTGGTTTCACCCTGGGCCCCCTGTTGCCCTGTTTGCTCTGATGTATTCTCACTGATAACAGCCATGTGGTCAGCAGGAATGAAGACTGTGATCCGTGGGCTCACTTTGGACAGACGTTAGGTACAAGCTCTGTTCATATCCCTCAGTTGTGAAAAGCTCAGGAACCAGGGAGGGACATCACGGCCTCCATGACCCTTTCTTTTCCTTCCAGGCGCTGAAGGGGAGGGGGCACTACATGAGTCCCCCTCAGCCTGGAATCCCTGTGTTCTCAATTTATTAAGGTCTTGGGCACTCAAGGCTGCCCAGGCTGAAGCCTTGTCTTAACTGAGCCCAAGCCAGCTCTGGAAACACAGAGCTCTGTGGTTTATGGGCTTCTAGGGTCACGGTACAGAAGCTCATTGGTTCGGGTGCCGGGTCAGGAGTGGGGCCAGACCCATCTGCCATCCCCCAAATCACCTTCTCCCTTCTTGATGGGACATGGACAGGATGTGCCCTCCTGCAGGATCTCCTGATCATGACCTTCGAGGCTTGCTCTGGCCCCGCAGGGTCAACTCACGACTGCGTCTGCTTGCAGGGTAGACACACACGAGAGCGCAGGACAGTACTTCTGCACCTTCCTCTCGGAACCTACAGGCAGAACCGCCGGCGTGAATGTGGAGGGTGAGTGAATGTGAAGGGTGAGCAGCTTTATGGCCCCCAGATCACGGAGGAAGGGGCAGGCTCATCCATCCCTGGGGTGAGGGGATCCCGCACACTGAAGCGGGGTTGGCTCCTCTAGGCCGTGGGACTCAGGCTCCGCTGTGCTCTGCTCCCCACCAGGGCCCCCCAAGGTTAAGGCTGTGAAGAAGTCAGAGCATGCCACTGAAGGAGAGACAGTTGTGCTGGCCTGCAAGTCTGAGTCTTTCCCCCCGGTTACCGACTGGTTGTGGTACAAGATAAACGACAATGGGGTCCAGGTGAGGGCTGCACCTGCCTGGGGTGGGGCAAAGGCCTGGGCCTCCGCCCTACTACAAGGTCTGCCTGTCCCCAGATTTTCAACAACGCGTCCCAGAACAAGGTTGTGATGTCCTCGGAGACCAAGACGGAGTTGCACATCCAGAACCTAGACCTGGAGGCAGACCCTGGCAAGTATGCCTGCAATGGCACCAATGCAGAGGGCACTGACCAGGCCATCATCACGCTGCGTGTGCGCAACCGCCTCGCTGCCCTCTGGCCCTTCCTGGGTATTGTGGCTGAGGTGCTCGTGCTTGTCACCATCATCTTCATCTATGAGAAGCGGCGGAAGCCGGACGAGGTCCTGGATGGTGAGCTTGCCCCATGCCCTCTGCTCCCCACCTGTCGGGGACCTGAACACCGTCCTGGAATGCAGTATAGTGGAGGGCGCTTTGGGGTTGAGGGACAGCCCCCTTTTACAGGTCAGGTCAGGTCCCCAGGCTTCTCCTCAGGAGGTGCTCCACCTTTTTTATTTTTTAAATTTTTATTTATTTATTTTAGAGAGAGAAACATCAATTTGTTGTTCTGCTTATTTATGCATTGATTGGTTGATTCTTGTATGTGACCTGACTGGGGATTGAACCTGCAACCTTGGCATATCAGACAGTGCTCTAAACAACTGATCTACCCAGCAAGGGCCTCCTGCCCCACCTTCTGAGGCTGGGATCTGCTTGCCCCCACAGCCTCACTTGGCTGCTGGCAGGCGTCCTCTCGTGAGCATCTGCTCTCAGTTGCTCAGCCTCCCCTCACATCAGCTGCTTGGGTCCAAGGGCCAGAGCCAAGCAAGCCTGTGACTATCTGATGAAGCTCAGGAAACCTGAGCCGCCCTGGCCAGGTGAGGGCACCTGCATGCCTACCTGCAAGTGGACAAGGAGAGCAGGCAGGGCTCCCAGAGCCCCTTGGGCTGACCCCATAGCTCATTTTGAGGGTCCATGTCCCAGGGATGGGACTGCCTCCCCACATGACCAGTCCCTGCAGCACAGGAACCACCTCTGACACCTGTTCTTCTCTTGCACATGACTTGGCTGCGCATCTGCACAGATGAGGACACGGGCTCTGCTCCACTGTGAGTCTTGGCCTCGCTGAGTGGGGTGGGATGGGGTGGTGGTGTGGGCAGGATTGGAGGAGCTGCTGACCTGGATGCCCCTCCCTCTGTGACTGGGGGTGGGGGGCAGCTGTCTTGTCCTCCTGAGCACTGAAAAGCCCCCTCCTGTCCCCAGGAAGAGCAGCGGGCACATGAATGACAAAGACAAGAACGTCCGCCAGAGGAACTCCAACTGAGTGAGCAAGTGAGTGAGGTGAGGAGCGTGACAGGGTGGGAGTGGGGGCTCCTGCCCTGGCAGAGCTGGCGTCTGAGTGCCCCTTCCTTCCTGCAGGCAGTGAGGAGGAGTCTGCACAGGCCTGAGCTGCTGTTCAGAGGAGCTGTGTTCCAGGTGTTCCTGGTGTTCGCACCATTCCAAGTCCTCTCCTCTTAAAGGAAACCTACCCTGCAAAGTAGACCACACTGTTGATTCAACTCACCTCTTTTCTCTTATTTTTAAAAGAAACTAAGCTAGGGTTTTCTCTATGTAGAATTCCATTCCTTAGGGGTTTTGCTTTTTTATTTTTAAGAGCACTCCAGGGGAGCTGCGAGGTTCTGTGGGGAGCTCCTGCTGTCCCCTGCCTATCCTCTCCATGTTCCTTCCTTGCACCCCCAAACCATACCCTTGGTGTCCCCTGGGCATTTAATTTAGCCTCTAGTCCATCATGCTGGGGGGCTGTGGATGACAGACTGGCTTTTCCCTGAGACTCCTCCTTCCACAGCTCACCTCCTGAGGCTGCTTTCTGCTGCTTCACTGCCCTTTTCAGGAGGTCACAGGTCCCAATGCCTGGCGTCCTGCCTGCCTGAAGCAAGTCCTGTCACATCACCGCAGGTCTGTGTGACCTAGTCCAGCCTGACTTCATGGCCACCCCTCAGAGTATCCCCCTCACTGCTCCTGCCCTCCCCACGCTGGGGAGGGGGGTCTGGATCACCATCATGGGGTGGGAGTTGCTGTAACAGCCCCATTTGCATCTGTGCTCATGGTGACTGAAGAAGCCCCCTCCCCAGTGGGGCCTGAGGCTTCTTCCTTCACAGCATCCTGACTTACATGGGAGCCCCCAACCCCACCTGCCTGCTCACCAATAAAGGCCGACCCACCTCTCCCTCTCCTGGCTCCTGTCTGTGACTGTCCTGAATCTTACCAGGAGAGTTCATAGGGCAAGCACTAAGCTGTACTGAGGCCCAGAGGTTGCAGTGCACGCAAGGGCCAGGGCAGGATAGGAATGAAGTGGAGCACTTGGGTTCCTAGGATAAGGGGTAAAAGGAGGGGTGGGCAGGCCACAGGACCATGGGGGGCCCTGTACCAGGTCTGAATGGGATGAGTGGTCAGGTTTTTGAGGCCCTGGACAATGCCTGGGATCCTTCCCACTGGCTGCCCAGTAAAGGCTCGGGGCAGCCAGGACTCAAGAGCTGTGTAGGGGAAGGTGCAAGTGGGAGCACCTGGAGTCTGGCCTCTTGGGATTGTTCCAGCTGACGAGGGCTGGGGCCTAGAAAGCAGGAAGGGGGTGCCTGCTCATCTAGACCGCACCCCGACAGGTAGGAAGTATGGACAGGTTGAAGGGCCAGGGAGCATTCTGATGGAGCAGGAGGTCACAGGAGAGAGGGCCTCACTGAACCCTGGGCTAGCAGGTACCATCTGGGCCTCCCACCTGGTACAGGGGGGAAACTGAGTCCAAGAGAGGGGAAAGAGCTTGTCCAGGGTAAACCCATTTCTACACCTAGGGAACTCCTCCTCCAGGACACGCCTCAGACTGTAAGCAGGTCTGGGTGAGGGTCGTGGGGAGCATTGGACCAGCTCTTCCGGGATCTCCAGAGAAGCAAGCTTTTTCTGGTGTTGGGGACGGTGCGGCATAACTGCCACGAAGCTGAAACAATAGGCTGTGCCCACCAGGCACTTCACTGAGGCCTCTAAGGCCACACAGCCGTCAGCTACCAGTCTGAGTTCCCCAAGCTTCTGGGGGAGGATAGGGGTTCACCCTGTTTATCCTGCACCCCACAGCCTGGGGAAAGCCACCCTTTATTTCACAGAAAGGAACCAAAGTTGCTCCATGCCAGAAATCCCAAGCCTGGTTACTGGGGACTGTCCCTGCCCAACCCTACCCTCTGGCCGCCACCAGAGGGTGCCACATGCACACTGCTGAGTGGAATGGGCCAGGAAGTAAATTCACAGAGCCCCTTGTTTTCTATTTTATTAGAATCTTTTAAAAGTGTTTCTATTGATTTTGAGAGAAAGAGGAAGGGAGAGAGAGAAACAGTGATGAGAGAGAAACATCATCTGTTGGCTGCCTCCTGCATGTCCTGCTGGGCATCCAGCCCACAACCCAGGTATATGCCTTCATCGGCATCCAGCCAGCACCCTCTTGATTCATGGGTTGACGCCCAACCATTTGAGCCACACCAGTCTGGTGAGAGCCCCTTGTTTTTACTGCCTGGTCCTGTGTGCCTTCCAGCTGGACACATCTGAGTGCCAACCTCCCTTAGCCCAGGGGTCCCTGAGAACACACCACTTTAACTTTTCTGTGGCCCATAAGTTACACATGCCTACTCATGCTCAGCAACATTGATTGGACGCCAATGATACACATGGGGCTGAGGAGTCTTTGGAGAGGCCCGAGGTCCAGTGGGAAGATCCACTGGTGACAATGAGGCTGACCCTTCACTAGGGATGGCTTGGCTAGGCCTCCTGGTCAGCCTATCCTCCAACTCTGGGGGCTTGAGCGGGTGTTTGCTTGCTCGGGGTCAGATGAGGCAGCTGCACTGGGTTCTTCATCAAGATGGGCCATGCCGCCCTAATTGGGTGGCTCGGAGCATTGACCTATGCACCAGAGGGTTGTGGGTTTGGGGTACATACCTGGGTTGCAGGTTTGATCCCTGGTTGGGAGTTTGGGAGGCAACCAATCAATGTTTCTCACATCAATGTTTCCCTCCCCCCCCCCTTCTTTCTAAAATCAATTAAAATTATTTTAAAAAATTTTTAGAAATAAAAGATGGTCAGTGCTGTGGGGTCCGACGTGATTCTGTGGAGCACAGAGCAGCAGATGGAGGGTGTGGAATGGAGAGGTGAGCGGGACTCGGCCTCCAGGGAGAGATGCTGCTCATGGCGTGTAGATCGCCATCCAGTTCTTGTGCACATAGAAAATAAACATTAGCACCTGGGCCAGCAGCCTGGTCCCTTTTCCTCACGTTAGGCGTCCTTGTCCCTTCACTCAGCAAGCAGCCCTATGCCACTGGGAGTGTTCTTGGTGACAACTCACTGAACCTACCTCGGTGTCCCCAGGGGTGAGAGGGAGCAGTCCAAGCAGCCAAGTTTGGATTTGTGAGAACATCTTTGGCAAGTGCTTGGAGGGTTCAGGAACCAAGGTCTCGGGGTCACAGCCTGCTGGGGCGGAGGGGCTGTCAGATGAACCAGGACCCATCCCCCAGGCTGCTTGGAGATGCTCCACCTGCTTCCCTGGGCACCATGAGGACGGGCTGTGGTGGAGGCCTCTGTGGGCCTCCCCGAGCCTCGGCATCAACCCCCATCTGGTGCCATGACCCTAAGAGTCCCTCTGCCTGAAACGAAGGGCTGTCACTGGTCCTCCCACCCCTCCCGACCCCACCAGAGGTTCTGGGGGGAGTGAGCTCAGCAGGGAAAGGAAACCCAGATGAGTCCTAAGTCTCCAACTGCAGGCCCCACCCCATGGTGCAGACGGAGGCCCCGGGGAGGGATGCTCTGCCTAAGGTCACTTGCCACTTGGGGTGGACACCAGGGCTCTGTCCTGCACAATGGTGTCTAGACATGCCACCCCCCTTCCTAGAGGTGCGTGTGGGGTCCCGGTCCTGCCATGCGTGGCTGACCAGACATTCAGTATTTCCTGAGTGTGGACATGGACTTTCCAGGCAGCTCTTGAAGCTTCAACTCTAGGGCCCCTCACTGGTCCCCAAACTATGGACTTTAGAGCTTTGGATCTGGACCTGTCCCAACTGCTGAGAGGGGTTTGAAGTGGTGGCTGACAGGTCATGACCAGTGTTGTGGGGTGGCCTCCATGGAGGAGAACAATAGAGTAATGGCCTGGGGCCTACTGGAGGCTCAGTGTGGGGAGGCCTGTGTGCCCAGAGCTCTGGATGGTGGGAGAGACTGGGGTTCCTTTCAAAGGCACTGGGGAGTCAGGAGTTTTAGGCAACAGCATTATAAACTGACTTAGAGTGTTATACCTGTCTACACAGTCTAGCCCCATGCTGCCATCTCTGGGTGTCATCTACACTCATCCCCTAGGTCCTCAATATCCCTTCCCACACAGGCAGGCACAACTACCTCAGGACATTTACACAGGCTGTTCCGTCTGCCAGACACTCTTCCTGCAGATGTCCATATAACACTGTCCCTCCCTCCCCCCAGGTCTTCATGCAGACATCACACCACACACCTTCCTTACCCCTTTCATGGCTCTGAATGGTTGTGTAGCACTTACCACCTTCTAAAGGACAATATGTTGCCCTAAGCTGTTTGGCTCAGTGGAGTGTTGGCCTGCAGACTGAAAGGTCTTGGGTTCAATTCTGGTCAAGGGCACATGCCCAGGTTTCAGGCTCAATTTCCAGTAGGAGGCACCGATCAATGATTCTATCATCGTTGATGTTTCCATCGCTCCCTCTCCCTTCCTCTGAAATCATTTATATATATTAATTATATTTAAAAAGGATGATATATGTTAAATATATATCAAAATATTTATTTTAAAAGGACAATATGTCTCCTAAACATAATGTTTGCAATATTGGTTATCTGTTCTCCACTCAACTGTCAGCCCTACCAGGGAGGGGTGGCCCATTAGGCTAACTTTTGAGTCCCAGCCCCTGATCAGATGCTTAATAAATATTTTGGAATGAATGAATGAGTGAGTGCATTCAGTGCAAAGAATCCTCTGACCTGGCAAGTAGTGAGAGTGAGTGGGAGAGATGGGGGAGGCTGGTGGCAGCCCAACCCAGGGTGGGACCTGTACTTTGTGGAGGAGTCACCGGGCCCTGGGGACAAAACTCCAAGGCTCAGAGAGAGGCTTTGACTTGCAGGCCCATCCCAGGCTCCTAGGAAGCAGTTGCAGGTCTGCCTTTCAGCTGCCAGGCGTGGTGGGTTCTCAGGCTGGTCGCACAAAGTTCACTTCCCCACTCTCAGCAACCAACCCCGGGGGTTCTGGCGGCTTGCCCAGACTGACATCTTCCCAGGGCGCACATAAAAGATCCCCCTTCAGCAGGAACACACATCTGCCTGGGGAGGGGGGGGCACAGCCTGGCACTGCCAAGTCTGCCCAGCCTCTCTTGCTGCCTCTGGACAGACAGTGGCCCTGCCTGCCTCCCCAGGGTCTGGCTGAGGGCAGCACAGAGGTGGTCCCGGGTGAAGGCGTAGGAATTCCTAGGGCTCAGGGCAGCCTGATGGAGGCAAAAGATGGCCTAGCTCAGCTCACCCGTTGTCCAAATGTGCAGGGACAAGTCACATCTCCACTCTCATGGCCCTGACAGCTGGTGGGTGGAGGCACCCAATATGACATCAGGCTGAAAAGTGCCATGAAGGCGGGAGGGTCCCAGGAGGTCAGGGTTCCTGTGTCCTAGGCTGAGGTGTTCCTCCCACTCTTTGAGACCCCTCCTTTCCTCTCCTCCCTCTGTCTCTCCTTTGTGTCCATCTCTAACTCTCCATCCCTCCATCCTCCTCTTGACACTCCCTGGGGGGTGGGTTCAAGAGGGGGGTGGGGGGGGGGCAGAATAGGGGAGGGGCGAAGGACAGAGTCCTGTCACCTAACCCCAACTTGGCTCCAGCCCCAGAAACAGAACCTCAGGTGCCTCCTCAGAGGTGGGGGCAGAGGGGCTGGAGGCTAGTGGCCTGTCTGGGGCAGAGTAATTGGGCTTCTGGTGGGAAGGGGTGGCAGGCTCTGGGACTTCCGATTTTTTAAAAACTATATGTCTTTACTGATTTCAGAGAGGAAGGGAGAGGGGGAGAGATAGAAACATCAATGATGAGAGAAAATCATTGATTGGCTGCCTCCTGCACGCCCCCCACTGGGGACGGAGCCGGCAACCCCCGGGCATTTGCCCTTGATCGGAACTGAACCCGGGACCCTTCAGTCTGCAGGCTGACG